GTTACCGTCCACGCCCCCAAGCACCGGCTTAAGCAGAATTCAACATCTCCTAAATCTCCCTTAAAACCAATCGACAGGTTAATCATTAAAATGATAAATAATTGGCGGCGTTCAAAGTACGCAAGTCGTGTTACATTTCTCGGTGATCTCATTATAAAAAGAAGATCAGAGCAAGCAAATACAGTACTCATGCACTTCATAAGATAAACAAAATAAAGGTTAGTAATTTCACAAAACGCAGTCATCAAATTTTCTTTCTATTGTGCTTCAGAATGTGCAATCAGTTTTAAAACATGTGCAGGATATAAGTACCAATAACGACTTTAGTCACTGGCTCTTGTTGCTGGATCGTGTAGGGGGTTGCGGTCATTGAACACCGCCTTTCCATGTTGGTCTTCTTTATCATATTTTAACTAAGCTGATCTACTTTGTTTAACTGAAACATGGCTTAAGAGACACAAAACACCAGAGATACAAGGTATGCGTCCATTTTTACAGGACAGATCACATAAACGAGCTGGAGGTATTCTTGCCTATGTAAACACCAACTTTCAACCGCCTCAAAGCTTCAATATCAGTACATGCTGACCTTTTGGTAAAGATTGCAATTTGCCAGCACACACTGCATCTCATGTTAGTTTACTGTGCACCAGATGGTCATAAGAATGCAATAATCAGTTATATAGATGTAATGATAACTCATATTACACCTGATCAGCGCCTGATCATTTTTGGGGACTTCAAACATGTTACTTTCCAAATTAAATCTCACACAACATAGTGGACTCTCCAACCTGCAAGACTGGTTCTACTTTTGACCAATATGGGTTTACTGTCACCTGTAAATAAGATTCCCAGGTGTTATGTTTAATTTCATTGTTTTTGTATGTGAACTTAGTGCTAGACAATTTGCCACTTTTACAAAATGTTATAATATTAGTTTTTTTTTAAGATTGATACATAGTCCATAGGAATCACTATACTGTGAGAGTTTATCTATGCAATTTTGAAGTCCTCTTTCACTAGTGGACAATAACAGAAGACAACAGCATATAAGAGACAGCCTAATAACGTATTACCAAATAACACTTTGGCAAGTCATTTAAAAATAGTTTAAACAAATTTGGACTTGGATTGTCACCCTGTTTCACACCGACTTGAGGTTTAAACCCTTCTGTTAGAGAATCATGTAATCGGACATGCATAAAATTGCTACTATACATATCTTTTATGTCCTTATAAAAGGGTTCAGATATTCCTACATCACAAAGTTTGTAAAATAGTATAGAATGCATTACAGTATCAAATGCTTTCGCAAAGTCAACAAAACATGCAAAAAGTTTAGACCCATTACTTACATATTTCTCAATCAATGTCCGCAATACTAACATATGCTCAGATGCTCTGGTTTTCGGCTAAAAACCTATTTGTGCTTTGTGAATAATATTGATTTTATCAAGATATTTTGTAACCTTTCATTTAAAATACTATTAAAAGGTTTTGACAAACAGTCAACATGGCATAATACAGATAACACGGTATTTATCAGGGTCATTTGGATCATTGCCTTTGTATAGGGGTTTGATATAACCTACTTTTCTCTGAGAACGGTAGAATCCTGTAGTTAGAATTGTATCAAATAACTTAATAAACCCTGGCATTGGAGTTGTATGTCCGCATTTAATCATTTCATTAGTTATTACATCTAAGCCAGAGGATTTTTTTATCATTTTTTAATAGCTGTGCGTATTTCCTTTTCAGTGATTTTAAAATCCAGATCAGTACATACTGAATACTCTCTTTTTCATGCAGACAGACATTGTTCATAAAACAAATTTCTGCCATTTAATTCATCTTTTATACTAACTAGAACTCCGCGAGTCGGATGTGTCGCCTTGTGAACAATATAGTTTAGGAGAAATGGCCAGGACAAAAATGAAATATAAAAACTAACAAATGGCAATACCTCAAAACTCAAAAAATAATAAGTGCAGAGCAGCAGTTTCTGTGCATTGCACTTCTTATCAATAAGATCTATCATTCTATGAAGTTTCAAGTCCATATCTTTTTTTAAATTTATGAGAAATAGTCTGGACAAAAATAAAGTTTGAAAATTGATAAAGGGTAATAACTCACAAATAAGAAGTGCAGAGTACTGGTTCTTGTATACTGCACTTTTTCTTTATGAGATCTATCATCCTATGAAGTTTCATGTCCATAGCTTTCATACTTGATGAGAAATGACCAGGACAAAAATAAAGTATGAAAATTAACAAAGAGCAATAACTCACAAAATAAGAAATGCAGAGTACCTGTTCTTGTATACTGCACTTTTTCTTAATAAGATCTATCATCCTATGAAGTTTCAAGTCCATAGCTTTTATACTTTCGGAGAAATGGCCTATACAAAAATTAAGTATGAAAATTAACAAAGGGGTATAACTCAAAAATAAGAAGTGCAAAGTACCTGTTCTTGTGCACTGCATTTCTTCTTAATGAGATTTATCCTCCGGTGAAGATTCAAGTCCATGGCTTTTATACATTAGGAGAAATGACCCTGACAAAAATAAAGTATGAAAATTAACAAAGGGCAATAACTCAAAAATTAAGAAGTGCAGAGTACTGGTTCTTGTGCACTGCACTTCTTTTTAATGAGATCTATCATCCTATGAAGTTTCAAGTCCATAGCTTTTTTAGTTGAAGAGAAATGGCCCGGACAAATTTTTTTTTAAAGTATGAAAATTAACAAAGGGCAATAACTCAAAAATTAAGAACTGCAGAGTACCGGTCCTTATGCACTGCACTTCGGGTTATTGAAAAAGCATGCATACCAAGTTTGAAGTCAATCAGACTTATAGTGACCGAGTTATGCTCCGGACAAGCTTTAGGGGACGCCGACAACGACGCCGCCGACACCGCCGACAAAAGTAACCCCTAAATGTCGCCTTTTCAAGGCAACACAAAAAGTGTTGAAAAATGCTTAACCCATCTATCTGAAGATATTTTAGTCAATATGAGGTAAAAGGTTAAACAGTTTGCAACTTCCTTTAACATAATATCTTTATGCTGATTTAATCGTACAAGACGTATGCTGCGGACAGATTTTAAATGCTAAATCATGTGATGTTAACAGATGTTCTAAATACCTGTATTCGAAGTGGTTCCCGAGAAATACGTCATTCGAGGTCTCACGTAGCTCCTTTGAAATAGTGCCATGGCCGATATCAATTGGATTAATTGATTGATATGCAATTTATTTACATTATTTTGTTATGCTCCCCGACAAATTTCGGGGGAGCATATAGTCGGCGCCTTGTCCGTCTGTCCGTCTGTCCGTCCGTTTTCTTGTCCGTAGCATAACTTGAAAACCCTTGGAGATAATTTGTTTAAACTTCATACAGTGGTAGAGGGCATTGAGGGGGAGTGCAGTGTCAAAGAACCATAACTCTATTTTGCCCGGTTTTTGAATTAACTCCCCTTATAGAAAAATCTTGTCCCAAAGGTGCCCGTCGCGTGACCTGGACCCCCACCCCCAACCCCACACTACAACCCCCCATATTTTCAAAAATAAAAAAATGATCATCTGAAACCTGTAAAACACTATCCAATATGCATATAACAACCAAATTAATAGTTTCCAACAAAAATATAAAATTATATTGTTAATTTATTAGAAGGTATTCATCTCTCAGGCATTCTCAATGGGAAAAAACTAATGTCATTGCTTGTAACGTCAATTTCTCATACAAACATCGGTCAATTTCCAAAATTTTGGTGACAGGTTACGTGGAACGAATGTCTCTGCCTCGAAAATCATTCGTTTTCCACGAGGTTTATTTTATACCTGCAATATGACGCCTCAAATTTGACATTTGTGTTGGTCGGAAGATTCCTGGCTGGAAACTCCGCTGTCTATACACAGGCCTAAAATACGTAATATTCGCCGTTCAGCACCAAAGTTGCACTAGATTCATAAGAAATACATTAAATCAATACACTTACATGTAAAAAGGATAGCCTTTCAGACAACAGTTCAGAGAAACAACGATTTTCCTCTCCACCGTGTAAATCACAACATCTATGCAGCCATATTTCGAAGGGAATGCGCACGCATCATATTTGTAAACGCGTCTCCGATTGGTCACTTCTGGGGGCTCGCCTCTGGTGCCCGGCTTCCAACAGTGAAGTACCTGAAAGTCAGAAACCAAAACAGCGCCATATGTCAAATGTTGTGTAATCTTCATTCGCATGTTTTCGTACACAGTTCTTTAATAAAGGAAAAAGATGGCATTAAATAGTGAGCAATTAGCGGCAGTTGATTGTATTTCAAGTGGACACAATCTTTTATTATTGGGAGCCGCAGGAACGGGTAAAACATTTCTAATAAAACACATTTGTAAAACATTAAAGTCTCAAAACAAAGTGGTTGCAGTTACGGCCACCACTGGAATCGCATGCTGTCTGTATGACTCAGCACAAACAATACACAGGTGGTCGGGCATTGGGGACGGAAGGTTTCATTTTAAAGAAATAAGACAAGTTATCAAGAACAATGTCAAATTTGCAGACGTGAGAAAGAAAATAAAAAACACAGATGTTCTTATTATAGATGAGTGTTCGATGTTGAGTAAGAACTTTTTTGAATGCATTAATGAAGTTTGTAAACTGAAGGACGAGAATCAACATTTTGGTGGCATCCAGCTACTGCTGTCTGGTGATTTTAGACAGTTGCCACCAGTACCAAATCCATTATTATGGTGAGCAGGGGATTTTTGCTTTGAAAGCAATTTGTTTTCGAAAGTGCTGCCACATAGAATAACCCTCACAACAGTATTAAGGCAATCTGACACTGAACTTATACATGCTATACATGAAGTTTCAATCGGAAATGTATCAGCGGAAACTGCATTGTTTATTGAAAGTTTACAGAGACCTTTAGAAAAAGATGACAATTGCATTAAACTGTTTTCAAGAAATGAGCAAGTTGATGATTACAATAGGCAGTGTATAGTGTGGATTTTCCCGGTGAGTTATATGAATACAAATCAACTGATGAAGGGGATCGCAAATTCTTAAACAAAATACTTGCACCGCAAACTCTTTGGCTTAAGAAAGGGGCACCTGTCATGTTGCTACGTAATCTTTCTGACAAGTTAGTGAATGGTCTACGGGGAACAGTCGTTGATATCACTGAAAGTGGTCCAGTTGTGGAATTCCCATCATTGAATATGAAAATGCCAATGGAGAAAATCACATTTTCAGGTAAACAACTCAATTTTCCTATTTGTTGTTGAACTCCTGAATTTATAAGTGTTTAAAGGCTAAAAATGGTATGAAAATGGATATCTTAAAGTATTTAATTGCAAATTAGTTTAATTCTGTGAAGTGCTGCAATTTGTTTCACAATATATTGACTGAATTAAAACTAATTATGCTTTTATCATTTCAGTTTTCAGTCCTCCCATGAATACTGATGTTGCTGTTAGAGTTCAGTATCCAATCAAGCTCAGTTTTGCCATGAGTATACACAAATCACAGGGCCTAACACTTGACTGGTAATTTCTTTTGACTATTAATGGTTCTATTTTTTACATTGAAAGTGAAGTTCAATGAACCTATACACAGTGATAAAATCAAAAAATCATTATATTTCAAGTCATTTGTTGCTTTCCTTTAGTATGTTTTCCAGCTGTTACTTTTTAATAAACAGATATAATATCAACAAAACTACAATTTGCAAATGTAATTGGACAATGTTTTGTCTTGGCACAAAAACACATTCATGGTTATCTTTCAAACCAGATTAAAGAGAATTCCAAAATAAGGATTTAAATAGATGAAATATTTAAGTCTGAATTCAGAAGGCAGTGTGTTAAGAAAATTATTGTGGCATTGTTTTGTTTCAATATTGCAAATTGTAGATTAAATCTTTTAATTTATCACAGTCTGGAAGTTGATTGTCGTCACATATTTAAGCCAGGACAACTTGGCGTTGCACTTGGAAGAGCTCGAGAAACCAGGGGCTTAAGAGTTATCCACTTCAACCCTCAACTAAGTGTAATTCAACAACCACAAGTTGTAAGACAGTTCCTGAGTGAGTCCTCTATGGAACCAGTGGAAGACATTAGTTGTTGCAGATCAAATATAAATAGGTAAAAACAAAATTTATAAATTACCTGTAAGTTATGACTGTGGCACATAAACTGTGTTCATCTGCTTTTCATCTGATTTTATATACTTCAGAACAGTTTTCACTTTCTGCTTTTTTCTGGGTGCTTCCGAGGGATGTCCTTTTCAGATTTTCAAATCTGACACAAATGTTGAATAGTTCAAGAACAAATTCTGACATGTGGAATTTTCACTGTTTTAAAAGTTCTGTACACTTTACATTCTAATTACTTTTATTTTACTGTATGCACTGTTATCTTCTGATTTTCTTTTTGTTGTTTTGTATTGTTTCAAAGAAAAGTCATATGGAAGAGCAGCAGCACGATTTTTTACCGGCATTTGCTTTCTGGGACACTACTTTTTGTCCAAGAACAATACTGTTTAAGGCCCTTCGATACTGTAGTGCATTTGGATTTGCGTTTGCCCCGTGGTATGTTGATCTTTGCTGGTTAAAGGTTTTTCAAACACATCTGATTTATTAGGCGGATTTTTAGTAAACTTAATTTTTATTTTTAGAACAACATATTTACACATTGAATAAAACGCCTACCTATGCATGACTGTAGTCTCAGGATTTAGTGGGACAAATTTGCCCTAATAAATTGATTCTGTAAATTTCACCAAAGAACTTTGTAATAAATTTTCCATCAAAAAAACTTAATTATTATTTGAAAAGAGATAAATTTGTTTCTAGGATCTAAATTCTATTTCTATTTCATTTACAGTTTTACATAAATTTTTAAGCCTGAGTTTCTAAGCATCTCGTGCCTCGCACGATTATCCATTCTGTTTTTGAGGCCTAAAAATCCAAACAAACAAAAAAAAGTTGACAATATTCGTTTGCCCCTGTCCTTTGTTTTAACTGAAGCCTTATTTAGAGCACTAGTTTTCCAGTTTGCAAACCACTGGGCTACAAGGGAAAGTTCCTCCAATCTTGGGTCATCCGCAGTTTTTACAGGGCGCATATCCTTAAATATGTTTATCATTTTTGAGGTCATTTTAAGAATTTCAATCACGCCATTCAAAACACATCCCTTTTCTCCAAGATATTTCTGATATTGCATCATTAAATTCAGCATTTCTGAATCAAGGACATCTTCTGCTAGATGGTTCCTCATTTTTTGTTGGTTAGATGGATACAGGTGCTCATTAGTAAATTTTCTATGAACTTGCAGAGCATTAGTTGTGTCCCATTTACAGCAGTCAATGAACATTTGCCATTGTATTGTATGTGAAGTTTCTAAAGTAAGGAGTCTAGTTGAAGATTTTGATGTTCCACTTTTAATGATATTGTTTCGTATTTTTTTATAACATGTTTAGAGTCCATCATAAAAATCATGTTGGCAAAGTTACAAGGGCACTGAGTAGTGTATGTAGTACTGGCGCCAATATTAATGTGCATAAATGTCCTGTTGCACTGTGCCCAATCCATACAGGTATAAACTGTGTTGAAACCAAACATTCTCAGGCGGTCGACAGCTTCCCAGAACAAAGGATAAAGCCCATATGCTTGGATACCATCTGAGATGAAATGGGAAATAGGAAATCTAAATCCTGTGACTCCAAAAAAGACCAGCTGCAATGCATGTGTACCCAGCACTTTCTCATTTTTTCCTTTCCTCATAATGTTACTTAAATTTCCCTCCTCCCCAACATCCATGAAACCAGTTAATTCAACTATGTCCCCATTCTTACATATTTGGATGTCTGACTGAATGGACATTTCATCAATTATTAGCCCTCCTGTATATCCTTCAATTGGAATGTCTTTTCTCTTAGCTTCTTCATACATCCATGAGAACACACTGTCATCAAAACCTACTTCGTGCTTCACACGACTCTTATACTGAATCAGTGTTGATCGGGATGGGAGGACAAGATACTGTGTTGCTCGAAATGCTTCGTATGAGTGGGGACTCCTACAGAACCACTGTAAACAAACTGAGATCATTCCTTGAGTCCATCTTCTACCCCGTGGATCTCTGCTAGCATTTTGAGCCTGGCTTAGTACAAGTTCCACCATCTCGTCGGTTGCTCCAGGGATCATTTTATTTACATCATCCTTTGAAACGGCTGATCCTGATACTTTATTATGAATATTGTTATTTATGTTAGATTTAACATCAGACTTACTGGAAATAGGGGTATTGTTTTCTTTCTCAGAACCATCTTTTGGTGTTGTACAATTAAAAATCATTTTTTGGCATTTAACACATGTGCCCATTGAATTCATGGGAACTACTCTGTTGCATACTACTGATTTTAATCGTTTACCTTGTATGTCTTCAGATTGCCATGTATCTAGAATGTGATATCTAGTCATAATCACATTTTTTTGAAAGTTCTACACCTACACACAAGGTTATTTTACGTGCAGCATTTACAACAAGGTCAATTCCATTTTGGTCTCCAGAAAATGTACTGGAGATATATAATTTTTGTAGGTCAATAGATACCCCGCTTACTTCTAAAGCCCACTCTCCATTGTCAAAAAATGTTATTACTTTCACTATTCTGTTCCCATTACTAGTGCAGTGGCTGTCTATGGTACACTTAATACTTTTCTCATGCTCATCAGTCACTGTAACATCATTTGCAAGGAATCCCTTTATTTCCTTAATAGTGATAGATTTCACAGGCATAAAACTTTCTATGGGTAGAAGAGTGATTCCATGGTAGGTTGTAACTTTGATATTAGTGTTCCAGTTTTTCTTTCCTTTCTAGCATTTGGAAATACCTTTAAAATATGACCAAGAAACACCATTTTTGGTACCTTTAAGTCAAACACCACTTTCTACCATTTTCAAATTTCAAACGGATTGTGTACAACTTGTTCACTTCCACAAAGCCATTAGGCTCTTCCTTTACTCTTGGAGCAACCTGAAAATAATATCATACTTTTTTAATTTCTGCTAAATGCCATGAAGGTTTTCTTCAAATATAGAGTTTCCTAAATTTTGTTTTAAATCATCCTAAAGAAATTACTGAGATTCTGAAATAATCAACAAAATTATTGTATCACACAATACTAATAAACATTTCATTTCTAGTTTGTATATAAAGGAATGAAAAGTTTAAGATGTAACAGTTAATCATGAAATTATTTCTTATAATCACTCAAGAATAAATTGAAATATTGTGTCCAGCAGAGTATTTATTTAAGTACATGTATTTGATTTACATAAAGTTACTTGCAATTAAAAGTATTGATAAAGACTACAAATCACCTTTTCTATACAACATGCATTATCTATGTACTCTAAAGTATCTAAACAGCTGCTATTCAGTAGTCAGAAGCCAGTCTATTTTATATTTTATCAATTGACCCCTCCTGTGAATACCCCTCATTTTATTATACCCCCACCACAAAATGTGGGGGGCTATAAATGCTTCGCTTTGTCGCGTCGGTCGGTCGGTCAGTCGGTCGGTCGGTCGGTCCGTCCGTCTCCATTTTCGTGTCCGCTCTATAACTCCTATACCACTTGAAGGATTTTCTTCAAACTTGGCTCAAATGTTCACCTCAGCAAGGGGATGTGCAGAACCCATGTTGCCCATGTGTCAGCTCAAGGTCAAGGTCACAATTGAAGGTCAAATATCAAACACAATCATATATTAGACAGTATGTCGTGTCCGCTCCGTAGGTCCTACAATAATTGAAAGATTTTCTTCAAACTTGGCTAAAATGTTCACCTCAACAAGGGGATGTGCAGAACTCATGTTGCCCATGTGTCATTTTAAGGTCAAGGCCACAATTGAAGGTCAAATATCAAACAATCAAATATTATACAGTATGTCCTGTCCGCTTTGTGAGTCCTACACTAATTGAAAGATTTTTCTTCAAACTTGGCTCAAATGTTCATCTCAACAATGGGATGTGCAGAACCCATGTTGCCGATGTGTCAGGTCAAGGTCACAATTGAAGGTCAAATATCAAACAATCAAATATTAGACAGTATGTCCTGTCCGCTCTGTGAGTCCTACACTTATGGAAAGATTTTCTTCAAACTTGGCTCAAATGTTCACCTCAACAAGCTTATGTGCAGAACCCATGTCACTCTTTTGCCGGCTTCAGGTCAAGGTCACACTTGAAGGTCAAAAATTGACTTAGAAAATGTTCTTTAATTTTAACATATATCTGAATATTTCTGAATCTAGGAAAGGTATTTGCTTGAAACTTAAAATAAGTGTCACAATTAAGATATGCTGGTCAAGTTTCATAACTCTGTATTGCATTTTAACAAAGTTATGCCCCTTTTTAATCTTCAAATTTACATACAATAACAGATTAGACAATATGTTGTGTCCGCTCTATAAATCCTAAACTAATGGAAGAATTTTCTTCAAACTTTTCTCAAATGTTCACCTAAACAAGGTTATGTGCAGAATCTATGTCACCTTTGTGCAGACTAAAGGTCAAGGTCAGACTTGAAGGTCAAAAATTGACTTAGAAAATGTTCTTAGATTAAAACATGTTCTTGAATATTTCGGAAACTAGCATAGGTATTTGCTTGAAACTTAAAAGATATATGAGGTGTCACAATTACAATATGCAGGTCAAGTTTCATAACTCTGTATTGGATTTTGACAAAGTTATGCCCCTTTTTAAGTCTTTAAATTTACATACAATCAATACTAGACAATATGTTGTGTCCGCTCTATAAATTCTATACTAATGGAAGGATTTTCTTCAAACTTTACTCAAATGTTCACTCCAATTGGGTGATGTGCAGAACCCATCTTACCCTTGTGCCAGCTGAAGGTCAAGGCCACACTTGAAGGTCAAAAATTGACTTATAAAAAGTTTAGTATATTAGGAAAATGAAAGGTTATTTGTAACTGTTTCGAACATGATTTGATAATAAATATTTTTACTATTACCTGTACAATTAGTTTTTTTTTCACCAGAGATAATTTCTTTTTATGTATTTGTGTCACTTAAGTTATTCTCTTAACCACCTTTCCAAGTTGTCTTCTGTCAAGGACATTGGTGGGGGTATGAATCGCATTCAGCGATAGTTCTAGTTTCAATTGTATCATATAAGTTTAATTCAGTAGTGATTTTCTATTACATAGACTGGCTCAAGTCTAACTGTGTTGTTAAAAGAAAGAGTTTGGTCAGTAAAAATATGCAAAGGAAATACAGTCAAACCTATACGAAAGACCACCTCTGAATAAAAACCACCACTAATAAACCTGTCTTGAAAGGCCACTATTTTCTCTTCCAATTTGACAAAAAATAGTGTTAATAAACATGTGTTAGGTACACTTCCTTAACACATTTTTAATTTCCCAATGATTGTTTATAGACAGGTTTGACTGTACCATAGGGTACATTTAAAAGCGTGTATGCCTGGATGTAGAAATAAAATTCTAAAGAAGATATAGGATGGAACAAATGAAATAAGTGATTACATGAAGTACATTGTATATATAACTTATTCATTCAAGTGATACCTTTCATCTTAAGTTTTTCTTCTTTCACATAATGGTTAATTTTCTGAATTCATAGGCATGCAGATAAAAACAATATAATATTAACTGTTTTACAGTTTTTAATTATGTAATCTCTCGTCATTTACCAAATCAAGTTGTTGAAATAGACAAACAGTGCTTTTGATTTGACAATAAGCTTATTTAAGGGGTAATAACTTTTCAACCACACTATAGAATGAATACCAAAGCTGTTGAATTTAAATCATCAAAATCTTATTTTGTAGTACAGTTATACTGCATGAAAGTGCCAACTTAAGTTTTTCTTTTGAGTAGGTATTTCTTTAATAAATGGATAACCTAAAGAATATATAGACTATGCTTTACTTATAAAATCTTAACAGGTAAACATGAATCCATATAAAAATAGAAGCAGAAATGAAATTGAAAATAATCATGATAAACATTTTTACTGTGTAGGTGTGTACACACTGGGTCATTGCACTGGTCAGGTGAAAACAGACAGATCATTGACCAATTTATGAGAAATGTATTGAAATAGTTTAAAGCCCGGTGCTTTATTTACATTCTAAATCTTTTGACTTTCTTAAAAAAATATCTTGTGTCTAATTGAATCAGAGACTTGTCACATGTTTGCTAGTCTGTGACTCTACCATCACCATAAAAGCAAGCTCTATTATAATAATAGTGAGACTGTACAAGCTCAGTAATAAATAGCTCAGCCTATAATACACCATCTTCAGAAATGATCCATTTACTTAACCATTAGCCTGCTATAACCAAGTGATTCTGCCTTTGTAGTGCAGACCAAGATCAGTCTGCACATCTGTGCAGTCTGATCATGGTCTGTACTGTTTGCTATTCAGTCAGTAAATTTTCAGTGAACACCCCTTTCAATGATAAGTGGTACTGCCCAAATTGAATGATGAAACAGTCTATTAAAGAAATTTAGCATGGTAAAGGTTAATAAATGATGATTTAATAAGTAAAGATATGTACTTGTCATGTCTCCAACTTTTCAAATGTGTGACTGTTCCTTGAAGAATAACTTCAGATAATACATTATCACATTCATTTTTTTTTGTGCTTAAGTTATGAAATAGTTTTTGTGAAATAGCTGGTAAAACTGTTCAAAAATATTGTTTAATAAAAGTAATAGTAGCATTTTTATCATTTTGCTTTTATGAAATTCATTGCCACCTCATGACACAGTTTTATTACATGCAATTCTTTGGTCAATTTCAGAGAGCAACAGTTGACAGACACAGATCTCGCACTATTTACTGTAGAGGATTTAATGGCCTTAGATTCTATGCAGGCTGACACGGAGTTATATGATCAGCAACCAACCATAGAAGAATTTGACAGTGAATTTGATGAAATTATTTCATTAATAACAGAATTACAAAATGAGTCAGTCAATCTTCCTACTGATTTAAATATGGAAACAATTCTGAATAATATTGAATGTAAAACTGTGAAAACACCAATGCAGTACAATAGTAACAAGATACTGAAAGAGATAGACCAACATAAATACATCCAGTTCTGCAAGAATGAATATTGTAAATTGTCATCTTTCATTGAAGATTTAAAGATTAACCCGGCAGAACCTGTGTCAGCAAAAAATCTCTCTGAATTTTACAGCAAAGTACATAATTACCAAATCAGTGCTGAATTCAGAATGAACTGTTTAATGCTTTTTGAAAACACAAGCTTTGGTGAAGATCATCTGCATATCTGTTTCAATATTTCAAATGAAATAAGAAAGTATTTGTTGAAGAAGAAGGCTGAACTATTTACTGTCAGTCAGAGAACTATATCAAGGAGAGCAGTGTCAAATGCATCACATGCACGTGTACGCTATGTAGGTGGTTACTGTATTGCAAAAATAAGACATAAATATATACAGAAGAAAAGAAGCCATATGTATAAGACAGATGCATCTGGTCAAGCATTGTTTGAAGAATCTGTGCTAGCTGTCAGTATTCTAGATGGGTTAAAGCTAGATGAACATCATGTTATATCCACCACCAATGAGCCAGAATCTTTACTAGATGTTAGTAGAAGACAAAAAGGTAATAGATCACTTACCAACATTTCGGATGAACTCTTCCACTTTTTCAAAAAGCTAACAGAAATATGTTTGTCTCTATTTATTGATTAATTAATAGGTATTTTAATAGGTATGGTGGCAATTTGTTTGAACATATCAGAACTGAAATAATGGAAAAAAGTTATTTATATAATCAGTTTTGTGAGGTTGTAGACATCAGTATAAATAGAAATGAAGAGTTTGATTCAGAGACAGTTAATAAAGAGCTCAGAAACAAACAAATAAGTAATGTGTATAAGAAAATTATAAAATTGTTCTTAATGGTAATGGTCAATCAATTCAGGAAGGATATCTTGGAAAGTTTCAATATCCAAAAAAAGATGGCTCACAGGAAGCAAATCAGAGTGTCACAGACAGATAAAACAAAATCTGACAAAGGTAAGGAGAGTAAAAAAAAAAGTGCTTTAATTGAAAATGTAAGTGAGGATCTTGAACAAGCTGGGCATGTTTATAAAAGTAAAGGAAAGGGACGTAAACGAAAGACTGTAAGTGTTGAAAGAGAAGGAGAAGAAGAAAAGGCCACACGAGGAAAAAGATTAAGGCGAAAGATTGTTAGAATGGACAGTAGTTCAGATGAAGAACTTACAGAAATTGCACAGACGACTGCAGCTCACACAAAACAAAGAAAGGACAAAGATATTTCAAAATCTCCTGAGGCAGAATTTATTAACGAGGACATTGCACAGCCAAGTACATCAGGTATAAATGTAAGACCTGCACAAAGGAGTCGAAGAAACAGTACTGATAGCTCCACAGATGAAGATAAAATGAAAAAAAGAGAGGAAGTGACAGAGCTAAAAGTCACCGAAGAAACAGGTGAAGTAGGTAGTGAAAATATTGATGAAAGTGAAGATATTGATGAAAGTGAAGAAAAGTGTAAAGTTTGTGATACAGTCAATAAAGAGTTTAAAGGTGAATTCCTATGGATACAATGTGATGGCTGCAATGGCTGGCTTCATCGAGCATGTGCTGGACTTCAGCACCATATGAAGTGGAAAAAGGCAACTCGAAAGGGAGCCAAGTTTTATTGTTGTGACTGCAAATAATCAATTATTTAAAACAGTACTTGAAAACTTTAGAGCTAGCCAATATCAATTAATATTTGTAAATTTTTTATACCAAGATCACTTTAACTTTACCATTGAACTTACCAGGTTACAATCGACATTCTTGTGCTTGTGATAAAACTAGACCGATGAATATAAAAACAGTGCTTTATTTGTGTAAATACGGAAAACACGCAACTTTAAAAAATTCCGCCAACAATCAGCTGTTTACTGGTTTCCTCTTATTTGATAGTTACCGAATTCTTATTGTTGGAAGCCGGGCACCAGAGGCGAGCCCCCAGAAGTGACCAATCGGAGACGCGTTTACAAATATGATGCGTGCGCATTCCCTTCGAAATATGGCTGCATAGATGTTGTTATTTACACGGTGGAGAGGAAAATCGTTGTTTCTCTGAACTGTTGTCTGAAAGGCTATCATTTTTACATGTAAGTGTATTGATTTAATGTATTTCTTATGAATCTAGTGCAACTTTGGTGCTGAACGGCGAATATTACGTATTTTAGGCCTGTGTATAGACAGCGGAGTTTCCGGCCAGGAATCTTCCGACCAACACAAATGTCAAATTTGAGGCGTCATATTGCAGGTATAAAATAAACCTCGTGGAAAACGAATGATTTTCGAGGCAGAGACATTCGTTCCACGTAACCTGCCACCAAAATTTTGGAAATTGACCGATGATTTTATGAGAAATTGACGTTACAAGCAATGACATTAGTTTTTTCCCATTGAGAATGCCTGAGAGATGAATACCTTCTAATAAATTAACAATATAATTTTATATTTTTGTTGGAAACTATTAATTTGATTGTAATATGCATATTGGATAGTGTTTTACAGGTTTCAGATGATCATTTTTTTATTTTTGAAAATATGGGGGGTTGTAGTGTGGGGTTGGGGGGTGGGGGTCCAGGTCACGCGACGGGCACCTTTGTCTTGTCCGGGGCATAACTCTAAAACTATAAGAGATATCAACATGAAACTTTGTAGGTGAATAGATCTCAATGGGTAGATGTGCAGTGCATAAAATCAATAACTCTTTTGTCCTAATTTTGGAGTTATTGCCCTTTGTTAATTTCAACACTTTGAACTTTGTCCGGAACATAACTCTAAAACTATAAGAGATATCAAGATGAAACATTGTAGGTAGATAGATCTCATTGAGTAAAGGTGCAGTGCAAAAGAACCATAACTCTGTTAAGCCTCATTTTTGGATTATCTCCCCTTATAGAAAAAATCTTGTCTGGGGCATAACTCTAAAACTATAAGAGATATCAACATGAAACTTTGTTGGTGAATAGATCTCAATGGGTAGATGTGCAGTGCATAAGAACAATAACTCTTTTTGTCCTAATTTTGGAGTTATTGCCCTTTATTAATTTTAACACTGAACTTTGTCCGAAACATAACTCTAAAATTATAAGAGATATCAAGATGAAACATTGTAGGTAGATGTATCTCAATGGGTAGATGTGCAGTGCACGAGAATCATAACTCTGCCTTGCCTAATTCTAAAGTTATTGTCATTTGTTTATTTTTACTTTTTGAATTTGTCGGGAACATAACTCGGAAACCATAAGAGATATCAACAAGAAACTTTGTAAGTTGATAGTTAACAGTGATTAGAAGTGCAGTGGAAAGAACAGTAACTCTGCCTTTCCTAATTTTGGAATTATTGCAACTTGAACTTTTTCCAGGGACATAACTCTGAAACTACAAGAGGTGTACTTTCCTGTGTCCAAAACCTATTCGGGGAGCATCACCCGGCTCAAACCGGGCTCTTGTTTAAATAAGAGATTATGGCGATGTTGAAATGGTATTTTATCATGTATTGTCTAAGAGTTAATTAGCAATTAAAACAAGGTGTCTTCTTCTGGTAATGTTTCATAACGGGTCTGATTCAGAACTTAAATGTCGGACAGAACGGACATACTCGGTCAAGCAAGGTTTGAACACGATTCGCATACGAATGCATACGTCTTGTACGATTAAACACGAGTTTTGCTCGACTTTCCTAGGGTCAACATAGGGTCCCGCCGACATTTGTTCGAGTTATGCTCGAATAAGCACACATTCGTGTATGCTTTAATATATATTGACCCATTTTGATTGCTTGGTTTCATAAATTGAAGAAACATCTTTATGTGAATATTAGGTATATAAAGCAATGACAGATGCAACAGATGACAGGATAAGGGAATTAGAAATCATGATCAGACTGATAGACAGTGACGGGTCCCAAGCTCATCATGCTCGGCAAGGTCAGCAGGTTGGAGTGTTCGGCGGGCCTTGATGACCGCTCTTGATTTCCTACTGTACTTTGGAACCTTCTTTGGATGCATTTTAGTCTGGTTCTCTGGGTAGATCTATCAGGTGAGGTTGGCAGCAGGTAGTTATGGTTTTCGTTGTACAGTTAGTGCAGACGTAAAGGCCGTGTAAACCCGTACTATAGCGTTTCTGACATGTATGATTCGTAATGAACCGTATTGGTCGTGTGGCGATCGTATGCAACGGTGTGTGCACTCGTGTGAATCATGCCGTGATCGTGTGACAGTAGGGTGTAAAGCGGGTGTTGGATGTAGGACTTGGGGGCGCTCTCGAACGATTCCATACGATTGATATACGATATTGACACGGTTGGGCTCACTTGTAGAGTGGTCTTCAAATACGGTTGTATATACGGTCTCATGCGGTCACTTATACGATCATACACGGACATTTCATCCGTGCCAGTTTTTTTTAAACGCGGAAGCGTTTATGCCACTTATAAACTAACGAACGAGACACGTTTTTTGTTCAAGATGCAATTTCCATGTTTGCTTTAATCTGATGTGGCGTCATACCAAGATTTACACAGCACTTAATTACTGCCCTCTGTTCCAACAACGTCACGCTTCTCTCTGGCGTACACACCCCTGTCTAACAAATTTCAATAAATCATAGCGACGCCTGTGTCTTTTTTCAAATGTTCTTTAAAGGTTATGAAAGAACGTTGTCGTCATTTTCGTATTATAAAGATGCGCTCCAGAATAAGGACAATGTTTAAGTATTTTAAAATGGTAAGTAAGTTTTAACTTGTAACTGTCAATGACTTCTAATCCAGTTACCTCTCTGGCGTTGGTTCGATCCCTGGGAGATGCTTTTGTAGTTTAGCGTGGAGGAAGGTAGTCTAGTACTGGTGTAACTCTCCAGGAACGATGATTAGGAAACTACCCGCCTATATGACTGAAATACTGTTGGGAAAAGGCGTAAAGTGAAACAAACAAACACATTAAGCTGCGGCGTTAATACGGTATAGGGTTGCTATGTGATACATATACTCAACAAAATGAGAAAGAAATAAATCAAGAAAAATCACAATATATTCGTACTTGCATTAATTTCTTCTGCTTATTAGCGAAAATTCTTTATAATATCTTGATTATTATATTAAGTGATTAATAGTGTCCACGAATATATTGATCAACCCTCGTATGAGCCGTGTGCTCTGTGTGAGATGGGCTTTCAGTAGAAACATATTTCTTTTATACAGTTATGACCTCCCCTACCGATTATACCGGCGGCGATTTAAGGTTTACCCTCCGTCCGACCGGTCGTCCACAAAACTGGATCCCATGATAGCTTACAATTTATTGAAACTTGAAATATGGATAGATGATAGACTGCAGATTATGCACATTATTTTCTTAGTATCTTGAAACATTTGGTTGTTATGGCGACAAATAGACTTCAAATAATTATAGCAAATATAACAATATACTTAACAAGAGGTGTTGGTAGGACAGCAACGCTCGACTATTCTAAGTGCTTGATAGTAAAAAAGCCTTGATAATGTAAAATTTTCTAATAAGAAAAGGGTTAAATTTTTCTTTAAATCCTTTTGACAGATATCGGCCTTGGAGAGAGTCCTATTATGCTCTCAAAGAAGAGTATAAAATTTCAACTTGTTTCAATGCCATATGTCAATGGACTATGAAAATATTTGAGGTATTACGAAAACTTCAACGTAAATTCTAAGTCGAAAAAGGGGCATAATTCTGTCAAAATGCTTCATACAGTTACCTCCCCCTGTCTAAAGGTTGGGGTCATGATGGTAAACAAGTGTGCAAAGTTTCAAAGCCATATGTCAATGAACTTTGAAAATATTTGAGGTATTACAAAAACTTTAACGTAAATTCTAAGTCGAAAAAGGGGCATAATTCTGTCAAACTGCTTGATACAGTTACCTACCCCTGTCTACAGATGGTGAAGAAGTGTGCAAAGTTTCAAAGCCATATGTCAATTGACTTTGAAAATATTTGAGGTATTACAAAAACTTTAACATAAATTCTAAGTTGAAAAAGGAGCATAATTCTGTCAAAATGCTTGATACAGTTACTTCCCCCTGTCTACAGGTTGGGGTCATGATGGTGAACAAGTGTGCAAAGGTTCAAAGCCATATATCAATGGACTTTGAAAATATTTGAGGTGTTACAAAAACTTTAACGTAAATTCTAAGTCGAAAAAAGGGGCATAATTCTGTCAAACAGCTTGATACAGTTACCCTCCTGTCTACAGGTTGGGGTTATGATGGTGAACAAGTGTGCAAAGTTTCAAAGCCATATGTCAATGGACTTTGAAAATATTTGAGGTATTACAAAAACTTTAACGTAAATTCTAAGTTGAAAAAGGGGCATAATTCTGTCAAAATGCTTGATACAGTTACCTCCCCCTGTCTACAGGTTGGGGTCATAATGGTGAAGAAGCGTGCAAAGTTTCAAACCCATATGTCAATTGACTTTGAAAATATTTGAGGTATTACAAAAAATAGATAAATACAGAATCCCTAAAGAAAGCCCAACACGGCAAAATTGAAAATGTTGCAGGCTCGGTTTGATTGAGCCTGTTCATGGACGGTACTTGAAAGTGCAAGTTACCGTCCACGCCCCCTAGCACCGGCTTAAGCAGAATTCAACATTTAACATGAACTGGTAAAATTTAGAATTTTGAAACATCCGCAGATGTGTTCATATGGCGGTTATCATGGAACCTTCAATGTGACACGGTAGTGCCATTCCATGAAAAGCGGCATATGGTCCCCAAGTAAAAAAAATGCGTGTGCCCTAAACGAGAAAACAATGGGCGGAACTAAATAAAATGGAATTTTGAAAGGGGATCTGAGGTTATGAAGCCTGCGTATCACAGATAGGACGTCAAAAGACAAATTTAAAAAGCAGGCAACATATCCTAAGGGTGATTCAACATTATTCAAGTAGGAATATTGGAACCACCCAACTAGAAAGTGCCAAAAAGTTGAAACTAAAAATACCACAAGCACAACAATAATGTCGTGCTGAACGATCTTCAAGGATCGAAAATATAACATCATTGATTAAATGTACGGGGAGACTTTTTACAGCCGCCACACGGCACAAATAACACGGATGTGATCTTAAAATAAATAAATACAGAATCCCTAAAGAAAGCCCAACACGGCAAAATTGAAAATGTTGCAGGCTCGGTTTGATTGAGCCTGTTCATGGACGGTACTGGAAAGTGCAAGTTTAACATAAATTCTAAGTTGAAAAAGGGGCATAATTCTGTCAAAATGCTTGATACAGTTACCTCGCCCTGTCTACAGGTTGGGGTCATGATGGTGAACAAGTGTGCAAAGTTTCAAAGCCATATGTCAATGGACTTTGAAAATATTTGAGGTATTACAAAAACATAAGTGGTTACGCCGACGCCGACGCTCGGGTGACTACAATAGCTCTACTTATTCTTATCGAATAGTCGAGCTAAAAAGTACTGAAAATATTTGTATTTAACAAATATAGGGATATATGGCGAAGGTTATTGCCTATCATCTTAAGCTTTAGGTAGTATATTGAAAGTGAAAATACGCTATAGATTTTATGCAAATATTTACCAAAGAGCTTAATAATGTTATATATTATTTGTATTAAATCATTCTTTCGTTCGGTAAATTTTTACCTGTAAACCTTGTTTTGAGGTACAGGTACAGTATTACATTCTGTGTTAATATAAATATATAAAGATATTGGTAATATTAACATTAAATTGTGTATATTATAATAATTAAGAAAAAGAAACTGTTTAAATAAGTATTTTGTCTAAGTTATCAGCAATAATTTGCATAAAATAAGCGGTAATATAGAAATTTGTGTTATTGGCAATAATCAGATTCAAAATTTCGATTAGAAAATCGGGAAAACGATGTTTTGGTATTAAGCAAACAAATGTAAATTCAATATGTGTCTAAATGCGAGTGTTTGTTTCCATGTTAATTTATTTTAATTGAAATACTCACGTATTGAAACACTGCACGATTAACCAGCGCAAAGTTAAAGTAATAGTTAAATCTTGATTCGGTCAGTTGAATAAAGTTTTTATGAATAAAATCCCATATGGTTCAATAGTTAGCGTTTTATTTTCACGTCATTAAACCTGGTTTATCAATTCAGTTGCTTTCATCGGTGAAAGGATATCATCTGTTCATTGAAAGCAAAGAATTTATAATGATTAAATTTAAATGTCAATAGAGATTTTATTGAAGAAGATTTGATTCATTCTTTACGCTAAAGTGATCAACAGTTTTCTTACGTTTAAGTGAGATCGATATTGATAAACTTAACAGTACATAATCATTTTATTTCTATCCTTTATTGGCAAGGTTCAAAGTTAAATTATTTTGAAGGATAGTTAAATGGAAAATACTTGGATGTTATTTAAAATTATTAAGGAAAAAACAACGTTAAATGACGTTATCATTACGCACTAGAACCTCGCTAGTTCGAATACATATAATAATGTGATTATAGCGATAGACAGAGGAGGGATATACATTTTATTTCATTTATTCTCAAATGTTTTATGTGTCAAAGATCTAAGTATACAGACGATCTATAGAATCGAACAGTGACAAATAATGAACAAATAATGACTACGTGCATGAGGACCTGAACTATTTCATAAGCTTTAAACAGTATCCTGACTAACTTTGAAAAGTGTTAAAGCTTCGAAATTATGGGATTATGTGGGAGTGCGTCCCTATGGGCGATTATCGCTCTGGTAGTAGCAATAATCGCGATGATATTAGATATCGTTGGTGTTGCGACTATATCGTGGATGGTTTATCAAATCACAACTAACAGTATAAGGGTCGGTTTGTTTCGGATGAAATCATGTGTGGCTAAAGCTTGTACTGAAGGCGACGTGAATTCGGGTTTCAAAGATGGTAAGATATTGATTCTGTGATATGAACAGAACATGTACACACATAGGCACATCGTTATACAAACAAATGAAATATAATTTGTATGAAAATACCGTGTCACATAATGACAGTTGTTTTTTTAAGAAGGGACAAAAATAACATGATCAGTAATAGGGAATGCAGCTTAGTTTACGCATACAGTTATTCAAAGTAGACGTACACAGTACAAATTTCCTAGAATTCATTAAATGTTTGCAATAAAAGTATTTTACCCAAAGATGACCATTATTGTTATACTTTATATATTACTTCTGTAAAATATAGATAGATTATGGTTTTAAAAAGAAGGAAGCGTTAAACCGAGTACTGTTACACTCTACAGTAGTATTTTTACATCGATATATCATTACGTCAGTTAAATAATAACATAAATTTTAAAGGCCCTTTATGCCACAGAAATGCTTTTATATTTGTTAATTTAAAGCTTTTTATTTTCACTGTACTTTTAGTTTGTATACATAAGTGATTTATTCAAAATGATATCGTACATGGTTAATAAGTGTTATCAAATCATACTAATACTACTTAAGAAATACAATATGAAAATAGTTTCCTGGTTAAAAGTAAAAGTATTCCCACAAATGGTTATAAAAGTTACCTTTTCAAAGTTGATTTTATTAATAGAAATGAACCTTACTAGAGATTAGAGAAAACAATTATGAGAGAATCTCTTTGAAGTTTGATCAGAAAGATACACCTTATATTCAATTTCCCTCAGATAAAATATAATTGTTTTTCTCTCGTACATTTTCTCAAATGTCTACTAAAACACGAATCAAAAGTTTAAAACGAAATTAAAAGCAATTAGCGATGTGTCAGGTAAGTGTGAACATTTCAAGAGACTGATACTGTTTAAGAGTTTATTGAATTCCATAGCGCAGTGAACCTATGATATATTGTATCTGATCAGTATATCAATTAAATAGTCGCTTCAGGCGGTATTTCTTTCAACAGTGTTGCAGTTGTTAGAAGTTGTTGTGTAAGGAAAATCCTCACAAGATTTTATTTTTCAATTTCAATGGGAATTGTATTTTCCAGAATAAAACCAATGTTTTTTTCACGTCATTTGTTTTCAGAAAATAAATCAGTTTATAAAAAAATCATGAAAGTGAATCTTATCAGAATGCTTTATTGTGTCTGTTGATATTATATTAAAGATGGGACTTTGGTGACTTCCTACATTGAGTGACATACTCGTAATAATTTTTTTTGCAGATATTGCAGAAAAACCTGTACATGTATGGATAAATAACGATTCTCTATGATGTTAATTTCAAACTATTCATGATTAATTTTTTATCGTTTCAGCAAACTTCACAGCAACACAAGGCTTTGAAATATTGGCACTTATACTTCTTCTACTTGCACCAATAGCCCTGTGTGTTTATGTGTGCGTCCGTTCAATGAGAGGAACATGCCTGGCATACACCGCCATGATTATGCTGTTTACTGCAGGTATTTTGTACTTTAATCTCACATGACAAGATATCGTCAGCTTATTATAATTTAATGATATTATGCTAATATTTTCATTGTCAAATTGAGCTGAATTGACAATTTATTACAAAAGATTGACTGTTTTAACGGTGACTGATCAACGGTCGATACCGAAATTTGTTTAGGATAAAATATAAATCTGTCTAAAATATAAAAAAGACTGTCCCACTCTTTTTTATAAAATTGAACATTACTGGTAAAACCCAATATATATTAATAAAACTTTCCTTGGATCCCGTGAGTTATTTATCGTCCATGCCAATTAAACTATAAAATAGGATTGATCGCAAAAAGAAAACTTATTTCGACTCATTATATACCCTTGGATGGACAATATATCACTTTAAGTAATAGTTTAGAATTGCTAGAATCTGTTTATCATATTTTATATGTGTTAACATATCGTTGAACATAGGTTTTATTGCGATTGAGGTCATCTAAAAGTATTTTTTTTTAATTATGTAACTGTCTGTTAGTAAGTTTATTTAGCTACGAATATTGGCAAATTGCGTCACTTTTCACAAGTATGTTGTCCATAATTGAAGCTTTAAAACTTAAATTAAAGAGTGAAATAAAGATCCTTGTTAATTTTGGATATCTTAATTTCAGCATTTTTCTGCTTTGTTGGAATGATATGTTGGTTGTCGTATGTCCCGGATCCGTACGTTGTGTCATACTCTCTTGGATTAACTGTCATCGCGGCCATCCTGGCTTGTATTGCTGGACTTTTGATTATACCGGAAGTGCTCGATGATGGTAGACAAGTAACGCCGAACAGACGTTTCTAATAATGAGGTCATGGTGACGTCATTCAGGTGACGACGAAATCAATACACACATTATAATGACGAATTACCTGTGACACGAAAAGCAACTTCTTCATGTCCATAAAACATCAATAGAAAAATGAGATATAGAACACGAATACAGAAATAAATAAAACTGTATTCAGAATATGTCTTTTCAGAATCTGAAAATGATAACGTGTTTAGTTAAAGTAAAAGGTATTACAAGTACTACTGTACTATTTCAAATGACAAATTTACGTGTTGTACTACCATTAAAATATAATTACAACCAATGATTGTATAAATCACCCTCTTTGACTTCCGAGAATCGGTAACTATAGCAACGAAGGACAGGACAAACAAATATTTTATAGCTTTTGTAGAAAACATTTCATGGCGCTTTTCTTTTTTATATTGTACATTGTTTTGCGGTACTTAAATGTTGTTTTAATTTCGAGATACGGACTAATATGATACAAAGTATGCTTATGTTCACGAAATGCTCGAAATATTTATGATGTTTGATTTGTAATATATGATTTATGATTTGTGATATAAGATTTTTGATACTTGATTTATGATGTTTGATTTGTGATATATAATTAATGATGTATGATTTGTGATATATGATTGATGATGTATGATTTGTGATATATGATGTTTGATTTATTATATATGATTTAGGATATATGATTTGTGATATAATATTTATGCTATATGATTTGTGGCATATGATATATGATGTATGATTTGTGATATATGATGTATGATTTGTGATATATGATTTATGATGTATTATTTGTGATATATGATTTATGATGATTGCTATGATACTATATGAATATGAAGCTTGTTCAAAACCACATTATTTTACAGAGCATTAGGTGCTATTCAAGTTTATCATTACACGTGTATAACTGTTTCAAACAAATTGTGTACATGTATATACATTTTTCAAAGTTAGTAACCTAGTTGATAAAACCGTTATATAGTACATTGTAACTATCGAATGTTTAATTCTCTACTTTTGTCCGATTTTACTGATATGTTAATAGTGAAAACATCAAAGCGCAAAGTTGAATATTCAAAATGACATCGCTAACTTCCGCCTACTTTACGAGAATTAATCTGAAAAGAATGTTTAAAAGTTCAATTACCTGAGCGTTCATCTACAGTCATGATTGTAATTAGTAGCTTAGTGAATCGATTCGAATCAACCTGTCAATAAACATTTTATGTTCTAATTGTTGTTGTTCTTTTTTTCTTTCTTTCTTCGTTATATTTCAAAAGTAGTAATACTTGTTAACTTGCATATGTTAAGCTACAGTCTCACTTACATCCCGGCAGAGCCCCGGTAGACATCCGGGGTGATCCGGGAACGACCGGGGTATGACCGGGAACAACCGGGGTACATCCGTAACTCTGCCGGCAACGTCCTGGATGATCCGGGATGATCCGGGAACATCCGGCATTCGACCCCGGATGGAATAAAATATTTAATATCACCGGGGTGGTCCGGGATGATCCGGGAAGGTATAGCTTTGCCGGCATCATCCTTAGCTCTGCCGGGAACGACCGGGGTGATACCGGGAAAGCACCGTAGCTCTGCCGGCACAAACCGGGGATGATCCGGGGTATGATACAGCCGGTAGAGTTACGGTAGAGCTACGGTAGAGCCCCGGTATATGCCGGCAGAGCCCCGGTAACTACAGGCAGAGCCCCGGAGGATAAAGGTAGAGCTACGGTTGATCCCGGTAGAGCCCCGGTTGAGCCCCGGCAAAGCCCGGATCATTTCAAAAAAATAAGGACAATTTGTGATGATTGAACTTGTTTGTATTTAAAGCCTTCCCATTTCCCTTCTATCCAGTATGGCATAAGGATTTTTCAGAAAATCATCATGAATTACTATTCTGGAACAATAGATATTATATTAAATAAAAATTATGTATCAAAGTTATCATTTTCGGGCGTTTTCAATCCACCGGGGTTCTACCGGGGCTCTGCCTGGATCGTCCTGGGCTCTGCCGGGGCTCTGCCTGGATCGACCGGGCCTCTGCCTTGGTCAACCGGGGCTCTTCCGGCGTCATCCGGGAACGACCGGGGAAGCACCGGCATGAACCGTAGCTTCACCTGGGCTCTGCCTGGATGATCCGGAGCGCATCCTGGGTGGTTAGTAGGGAACTACCGTAGTGCTGCCGGGGTAAGTGTGACCGCAACAATAATTTCATCCCGGATCGTCCCGGATCATCCCGGTAACTTACCGGGATGGTCCTGGGCTCTGCCGGGAGTAAGTGAGACCGAGGCTTTACTTCTTAGTTTTCCATGCAAGGTCATATAGAAATGCTTACTTATAATTAGCCATAATAATTTCTTGCAGGGTTATTAATCTTAAATAGGAACACTTTTAGATGTATGTGTTTCTAAACGAGCCTGTCGTAATTCGCCGGGGTGAAATTATTGTTGCGGTCATACTAACCCCGGCAGCACTACGGTAATTCCCAACTAACCACCCATCAAGGCATCGGTAGAGCCCAGGTCATCATCAAGGCAGCGCCCACGGAAGCTACGGTTCATGTCAGTGCTTCCCCGGTCGTTCCCGGATGACGCCGGAAGAGCCGGAAGGGTTTTAATACAAACAAGTGCAATCATCGCAAATTGTCGTGATTCTTTTTAAATGAACCGGGCTTTGCCGGGGCTCTACCGGGAACAACCGTAGCTCCATCGTCATCCTCCGGGGCTCTGCCGGCATTCACCAGGGTTCTGCCAGCATTCACAGGGGCTCTACCGTAGCTCTACCGGCTATATCATTTTCCCGGATCATCCACGGTTTCTGCCGGCAGAGCTACGGTGCTTCCCCGGTGTAAACCGGTCGTTCCCGGAAGAGCTAAGGATGAAGCCGACAAAGCTATACTTCCCGGATCATCCCGGACCACCCCGGTGATATTAAATATTTTATTCCATCCGGGGTCGAATGCCGGATGTTCCCGGATCATCCCGGACGTTGCCGACAGAGTTACGGATGTTGTTCCCGGTTGTAGCCCGGTCGTTCCCGGATCACCCCGGACGTCTACCGAGGCTCTGCCTGGATGTCAGTGAGACTTAACTTAAGTTACTGGGATGATCCGGGGTGAAATTATAGTTGCGGTCACACTTACCCCGGCAGCACTACGGTAATTTCCAACTAACATCCAGGATGCGTCCCAAGGTGTAGCTACGGAACATGCCGGTGCTTCCCCGGTCGTTCCCGGATGACGCCGGTAGAGCCCCGGACAATCCAGGCAGAGCCCAGGACGATCCCGGTAGAGACCCGGTGGATTGAAAACGCGCAAAAATGATGACGCTGATACATAATTTTCATTAATATAATTTTAAATGATATTTCTCCTAATTAATAAGTAATTCATGATGATTTTCTGAATAATCCTTATGCAAGTCTGGACAGAAGGTAGATGGGGAAGGGTTTTAAAATCATCGCATATTGCCGTGATTCTTTTGAAATGAATTGAGTTTTGCTGGGGCTCTACCGGTATCAACCGTAGCTCCATCATCATCATCCAGGACTCTGCCGGCATTCACTGGGGCTCTGTCGGCATTCATCGGGGCTCTGCCGGCATTCGCCGGGGTTCTACCGGCTCTACCATACCCCGGATCATCCCCGGTTTGTGCCGGCAGAGTTACAGTGCTTCCCCGGTGTAACCCCGGTCGTTCCCGGCAGTACTTAGGATGAAGCCGGCAAAGCTATACCTTCCCACGGTGATATTTTATTCCATCCGGGGTCGAATGCCGGATGTTCCAAGATCATCCCGGACGTTGCCGGCAGAGTTACGGATGTATCCCGGTTGCTCCCGGTCGAACCCTGGTCGTTCCCGGATCACCCGGGACGTCTACCGGGGCTCTACCGATGTTAGTGAGACCGCAGCTTTAGTCCAGGACTTTCAAACCGCAAAGGATTTTTCTCAAACATGTTAGACGTTGGCATATATTTTTTATTGATTTTTATTTAATTTCAATTCAACTTATTTTACACGTTATACATGTTATCTAAGAGCACTATATCCCTCGCGGGACATATGGCGTATCATTATAATGTTGAAATGGTGAACTTTATTGTCTGGAGCACAGACAGTCGGTGCGTGACTTTGATAGTAAACGTGTACAAGCACAAGCCCAAGATTTTTGATAAATAAAATAGTTTTTATCCAAAATGTTTTTAAAACATGTTATTTTCAATAAAACAAAGAAGTGTTTCTTTTTTTAAAAAATGTCATCCATATATACTAAGATTCACCAGCGGAACTATTTTAAGTTCTAGATCTTTTTTAATGTTCAACATATTGTGTAATCTACCCAGAAATGATTTATGTTTAAAACAAATGTACACCATTAGACCATTATACCGGAAAAGATCAATTTCTGAAGCACTGATGTCGAAGGAGAGACAGAGTTATTCGTGCAAGAGAAACATATACTTGGCCATTGGTCAGTACTAGTACTTCCGGTTTTCTTCGTATACGGATCGATCTTGGAATAAGGTGCTTTGATGAGTACATTTATGTAAAATACCACTAAATCACAATTTCATGAGGTTGAAAGACCTAATGCCCATTTAGACTAAGAGGCTAAATTTGAAGGTCTCTATCAAAGTGCGCGCAAAAGGCTGGTCCCTCATAAAATATATTGTTAATTATACTGACAATCGGTTTCATTAACTGAAACAAAAATATAATGGAAACAAAAAAAGTCTCATCAATATAGATAGCATTTACGGCACTATGAAAAATGAAAACGAGTATAGGCGTTACAAATTGACATTTCATTAATTTTGACATTTCATTAATTTCCACACCATTCCACGAAACCAGTAGTTATTTTCAGAATAAAGAAACAAGGAATCTTATCACTTGTGGCGGCATGGCCGAGTGGTTAATGCCTCGTACTAATAGGCTCTCTAGCTGCGTTGATTCAGGTGCAAGCCGTTGTTTCCTTGAGCAAGATACTTTACACTCATTGCTCAGAACTGGTTGGTTCTAGCAACTATCCGATAGTGTGACTATAAGTTTATAGATATAGATTACTACACAATCGAGCAAATTAACTAAATTTTGTGTAAACTAAACCTATCACTTTCAATTTAGTTACGAATTGATGAAAATCTACTACAAAATTACTTTTTTCAATCACACGTACAAAAATAGGGGCGTCCGTGGCCGAGTGGTTAAGGTCGTTGACTTCAAACCACTTGCCCCTCACCGCTGTGGGTTCGAATCCCGACATGGACTTTGGATTCTTTCACGTGAGGAAGCTATCCAGCTAGCCTACGGAACGTCGGTGGTTCTACTCAGGTACCCGTTCGTGCCTGAAATAATGCACGGAAGGGCACCAGAGGTCTTCCTCCACCAGTTAAGCTGGAACGTCGCGATATGACCTATACTGTGCCGATGTGACGTAAACCCCAAAACAAAACAATTGATAAAAAAAAATATTCTAAGGCAGACTACCATTTATGTATCCTCAACTTTATTTAAGACAGAGCAATTTGAGTTTGCGTGACAAGAACAACAATGAACAATCGAACTACTCCCATGCTTTAACACATGAAAATCACAAGATAAAAATGTGAAACACATAACGTTACCAGTATACTTTATTCTCATAAAATGTTTGACATCAATCTTGATTTATTAATTACATGTTATATAATGTAATGTAAACAATTGGTTATTTTTTTATACGTTATGCACACCATTTTCCTTGATAGTTTACCAGTTTATATACATATCATCAGCGAATACTTTGGCCACACTGTGTACCTAGCATGAATCTATTTCGTAAACACAAACTTCATGCATTATTTCGGGCACGAGCAAGTACCCGAGTAGATATATATACTAAATTCCGCTACGGCAACCGCTTATTAATAATGAAAAAATCTGAAAAGCTATATTACTTAATTTATTAAGCATGATTGACAACAACACAACAACAACATCTAGATGACAATAACCCCAAAATGCGATAATGAAAACGCGAAACTACATCTCATTGTAATAATGTTTTCGCGTGTTATTTTCATTGTTAGTTTGCGATTTCGTCTTCTAACTTTTTATTTTTGTAGTTAAGTTTTCATATTTTTTCATTTAAAGAGGAATGACCATAACGGAATCCAGTACAATCATCACTGTCTTTGTTTGAAATAAATGTACTTTTGGAAACATTGATTATGTCAAATACTGATAGTTACAATGTAAATAGCGTACTTATGGTAAATATATCATTTCAAAATCAATACATTATATTCTATTTTACTTAAAAAAGTTACAATATTAAATAAATATTTTTGTTTTTCAATCGAAAAAAGATCTAGTTTTAAATGGTCCGAAATATATCGACAGTATATATTCAACAGTTTACACATAATTATACAAAAATATACATCTTGTTTTTTCAAAATTACCTATCAATTTATAAAGGAGATAAGTATTTTCAATACTATCAAATTAGTTACCAAAATTCATCTTGCAACTGTGACATTCACTCACGCATAGACTACTTACTGTTATGCAAAATCTTAGAATAGTACAAAGAAAACAAATCAGTCGTTCATGAAATGAACTGAGTATAGCTTAAGTCACATTCGTCCAATGACAGGCTTTACTTTATTCTTTACACCATTTAAAAACCCTTATGAAAGTATATAAAATATATAAAAACACGCTGAAGTTATCCATAAGATTGCAAATGACTAGAGAAATAAGAACAAGTAAGAATTTTTTCTCTATACACCAGATAATTTCTATACTTTCACGGGTGTCGCCTCTGTAACATCTGAATTTTCTACCGTCTCCGTTTCTGCACGGTTTTTATTCTTTCTTTTTCGATTTTTCTTCTTTTTCTCTTTTCTTACATTGGTCGGAATATCTTCCGTAGCGTCCGGTTCATCGGCATCATCACCATTGACGGGCTCGACAGGTAACGGTGCTGCCCCTTCCTCTAACATGGCGGGCGGTACGTAATCTGAGTATTAAATAAAACAACATAAAAAATAGATACATTCATTTTAAAAAGGGATTTGTCTGTATTAAATTTAAAGGTCAATAAATGTAAGCTAAAATGACGTGACAAAAAAGTTCAATGATCAAACAAACCCAATTACCCATAATTATCTACCTCATTTTCTGTGAACCAATCCTATCTAAGTGACTTTACTATAATTATGATATAATTATGATAATCAAAAGTGGGCAAGTGATTTTGTGAAAATTATATAAATGTCAAAGATTCTTGAAACTATTATGGAAACAAAATTAATCAAAAATCATAAAAATCCATTAAGTAATTTAATTAATATGTTTATAATAGTTATATTACATTGGGCCAAGGCATCGCCTAAAATCGTACTTATATTTAATGGCACGGCTAAATCCATGGGCCTTGTTTAAGGCCTAGTGATGTAACAATCATATTACATCATAAGGCACAGGTACATGTACCGAGTTCAAAATGCATTGAGAGTTGAAATAGAAACTTGAATGATACATTAAAGCTTACAGTTTTTGCAGCAAGTGAGACTGAAACTTTAAGAACTTAGAGAACTCCATAACCTGCATCACGCATCTCGTGTATCTAAAGTGACTCAACCTACATTATATGAGCCGCGTCATGACAAAATCAACATAGTGCGTTTCGACCAGCATGAACCAGACCAGCCTGCGCATCCGCGCAGTTTGATCAAGATCCATGCTGTTCGCTACAAGTAGAGAAACTGATAGCGAACAGCATGGATCCTGATCAGACTGCGCGGATGCGCAGGCTGGTCTGGATCCATGCTGGTCGCAAACCCATTATGTTGGTTTTGTCGTGACACGGCTCATTTGTACTTAATTTCAATATTTACTTCATTTCACTAATGACTGGTGGGATGAAAAACAATCAATGGAGGCGATATTGTACTTTTCTAATTGCAACGCTGATAATATCGCGAAACGAAATGCTTATCTGACCCAATTACACAGGAAGCAAGTTTAACAAATATTAAAGCTCTTTAAATACAATAGATGTATAACATGTTGGCAATAAAACAGTATTATCTGTAGTACAATAACCTTTATTCTACATTGTGATAATTTAAGCACTTGTTTCTAAAACAGACATACTTTAACATGATAAGATGTTTAAGATTTTTCATTTAGCAAAGACATGTAAGCTTCCGAGTATTTGGTACAAAATTGGGTTTCACTAAATGATGAACTGAGATGTTTATATATTTATTCTGAATACAGAAACAAACTATGTTGTGGAAAATTTTCAGGTTAAATGTATATCTCACTAACGAGACAAAACAGATTCCAAGTTTTTCAAGATTACGTCATTTAACCCTAGAGTCATGGATCCACATCGTGATGTCTCCTTATATTATATGTCACTTATATAGAACGTTAAGCAGGTTCTAAGGTTGATATTTTTGTTGGTGTTAACGATGCACCAACACTATAAAGGTCATACGGCAACTTCCAGCTTTACTGATTGAGAAAGACCTCAGATGCCCCTCCATGAATAATTGCGCACACGAAGGGGTACCTGGGTAGAACCACCGACGTTCCGCAAGCTAGCTTGATAGCTTCCTCACATGAAATAATTTAATAGTCCCTGTGGAGTAACTCATAGCGAAGAAGGGCAAGTGGTTTGGAGTCAACGCCCGCATCTATGTTGATAGTAACACATGTTAAGCATTGAGTTAAATCGTAACAATCGAGTTGGAACAAGTACAATTAACAAAGACAAGGATATTAGACATTACACTCACCGTTGCATCTGTAAACAAGATCCGACCAGATTATCATTTCTTGGGAGAAACAGAACACCCCAAGTCGTCCACCAAGAAGTTCATTGTTATACACATTACCAGAATCAGCTACAAGGTTAGTCTCTTCAAATAAAAATACCCTGTAATATGTTCCAGAATTTGTATTGGTTTAAAAAAATGGAGTTATTTTGACTGGATATGTTGACTGGATGAGGTTTCGAAAGAAGGTGTTTGATCAGTACTATTGTTTGTAAATTAAACAATTATTAACACTTTCAAAATATATACATGTATACAAATATCTAAAATAATTGTCTTATCTGGAACATAATATGGAATGTAAAATATATAATATATAGATATGGAAGGCAGCAATACAAGGCAGGTACTCTAACTTTTAGCCAAAACATGATATGGTACCATGTAAAAGTGATTTAAATTTTATTAACAAATTACCTAATAAGTCCAAGAGCTGGCCTATGAATCAATTCCCATCGGTAGGCCACACGTTCCTTCCATCCCACATTTCTTGGATCTGTCCATAATAACTTTACCTACAAATAATGAGGGAGGAAGAATATTTTTCTTACTCTATATCCATGACCAAGAAGTGATCATGAATGAGAAAAGAAAGCAAGACTAATCATTGTAAGTATCTTATAAATATCTCATTCTTAGCTATAAACTGTACATACCGGGTAAAAAGTTATGTTACTTTCTTAAGAACTTCTATTTACTTGTCATTACTGTAACACTAATTTCTTCAAATTAAAAAAAAAATCCACACCGATAAGAAATGTATGATTTACACCAGTCAGATGTACCCAACACTCTGGGAAGGGCGATAATTGTTAGAAATGAGACGGGCTGTCCCAACACTCAATACTGTTCTTGATGACCGGGGATATTTCCAACTTGCAAGGTGAGGACAAAAACTGGAATATTGCCTTCTGATTGTCCTAGCAGCGGGGGATTCTACTTGGATTTTGAAAATCCAAAAAGAGATAGCCGCGCTCTTCCTCGGAGGCGGTGGGGAGGGGCGAAATAGGGCCGTACTTTCATCTGACGAGTATATAAGAACTTGTCATTGTCTATATACATTGTATATTAGAGTACTTTTTTGTCAGGCAGTAAACGTAAAACATATTTCTGTTGAATGTTATTCTAATACTAAAGCAATGCACCAATATGCAAATGTATTTTGTTTTATTCTATACAGGTTAGATGAATGAGGATTAAATGTAATAATTGCAAGTTTAAACACGTTCATATAACATATCAAGCGTTTTAGTTATGAAATACGGCAAAATTTCTTTCCGTGAATGCAATAGAGGTCTTTCGAAATAACATAAAAGTTATTATTGCCTAAGAAAAGTTATAAAATCAAATAAGATACAAATAAAATGCTCCAAACCTGGTTTGGTGTAGTTCCTGTATGCCATAAAGCATTCCGCATAACTTCACCTGGACCTGTATTTGACTTTACTAGTTTTAGCTGAATACCCGGTTCAGCTACGGCACGGAACGGCGTTGAGTGCCAATAAGTCTGGCGAGCTTTCTTCCACATGACAACATAAAAACTGGCACTGTCTTGATAACTTGATAAAATAAAATGTTTAATCTTTATTCAATGGACGAACACATTCAGCTTCAAATTTGTTCGAACACATTTCAAATCTTGATTTCTCAAAAACCGAATATTACTCTTTGATTTCCCATGTTCTCTAGAGGGCATGCTTTAGAACGCTGACTGACATTTTTTCCCAGTTATTTCTCATTCACCACAATGTAAAGAAAGTTGATATACTTGTAAAGAAATGAAAATTGATAAAAACGTTGAAGATCTTGAAACATATTGACATCAGTTTTATAGAGAAGTTATTCTATAGGGTGTAAAACATCAGACAATTACTCGTGTCTGATTCAAAATAGTAGGCGAAAACAGTTATGTACTGATAATAGTAAACAGTAACACATATTTAAAAAAATAACAGTAACATTTATGTAACTTTAATGACAGACATCAATAGCATATCCTTTTATTAGATTGAGGATAAATTTACCTGAATATAAAACCAGCATAATCATCGTCAACATCCGTGTTAACAAAGAAAGTTCCACTGAAATCTACGCCATTAAATCCGTTATAACCTGCATATATAAATACAAATATGTAAGACACAAGAAATAACATAAATCTAGAATTTAAAACAAAATGCAATAATAATTAAAAATATTTTCCATACATATTTGAAGATAGTATCATGGATGTCTCAATAATATGAATTTCTGGTCGGTAAAAGTTTATAACTTAAATTAAATAAGGACATAAATCATACTTACTGACTGCAATACCAGGATCACTATTAAGAGTCTGCACAATTTCTGCACCCTGTAATGTAAATATATAATTTGCAATCAAACAACACACATAGTAAATACATCATAACTACTTATATTGAGCAGTGCTATCTAATCATACCCACCCACGTCCGCCCCAAATTCTTAAGGCCACCTATAGGTATATGAAATTCATTTAAATTCAGCAAGATATGTCGATGAAAAATATTGCAGATCTTTCTATCTACAACTTTTAAAGAAATATTTTTTAAGACATTTACTTTGTTAATCTCAAAAAAATTCTTGTCCATAGAATAGCAGTATGTATAGAATGATGCAAATCATGCAAATTTCGGGGAGTTATATTACACTATCGTATGGTATCCTTCTTTTATACATACGTGTTTGAAGTGCAGCTGGATAAAGAATGATTCTTTGGTTGTTCATGTCATTTTTTTCTAAATGACGAAATATTATTATATCGTTTAGTGTTTAGAAGCTTATAGCATCCTTCACATTCGAAGTAAAATAAATTACGTATAACTTATTCAAATTTTGCAGGACCAAGTTATTGAATACATATGTTTCGTACGTACATCATTAAAGATAACCCAGTTCGGGTCAATCTGAGAGTCCCCAACTGGATCAAGAATAATCGTTTGAAAAGCCCGGAAGTCAGTGGCATAAAGATCTCCATTTTCTGGACATACGTCAAAACTGTCCGGATACCCATCACCGTCCGAATCATCCTTACATATATCTCCCACACCGTCAGCTAAACAAAGTTAACGTAACATGTATAGATGAAGTTATTAAACTGCTTTGATATTATTTCATTGTTTGCCATTCCATCAACTGTTAAGAGATGGCAATTCTTAAGTGAAAAAAAAAGTCTTTAACAAAAGTAAATGCTATACTTTTCCACGAAGTGTGACATTCTTTTCAATATTTTTTAAGTACGATCAAACTGACTTAATACATTTTAACTAAATTGTTTGTTTATATTTCCTGCCTGTATAACAACTGAGTGTATATATTGTTATAAAACAAACATTTCATAAAACGTACCGTCGTCATCTCTTTGATCAGAGTTTGCAACATACGGGCAGTTATCATCTACATCCGGGACACCGTCGCCATCATCATCATCGTCACAAGCGTCTCCTAATCCGTCACGATCCGAGTCACGTTGGTCGGCATTCGTCACGTTTGGACAATTATCAAATGTGTCTTGATGTCCATCTTTATCCCTGATGGTATATTTTATTTTATTATCATTTATATGGATAGCGTAGGAAATTATTGAGTTAAAGTAATATCACATCACTGAATATTTGACACTGAATATTTGACACTGAATTAGGAAAAAACTACCAATCATCATTACAAAATGGCCACTACGTAATCATAACAAAATGGCCACTACGTAGTTCTCTTACTATATTGACGGTGGGACGATGCACAGTAAAGATTCTTGTTTTAATGTGGACATAACAGAACACTTAGACATATTCTTAATTTTACACTCGTATCACACATTACATTGAGTCAGACGTTATTTTACGAATCATGTTTATTTGCAATTCAGATGACGTATTGAGAGTTTGCATTAAAAATAAACAGGCCATGGTCGAATAGGACAATTATAATTTTTAAAAAAAAAAAACTTAACAAATACATTAGAATATCAGATTTTTATTAATAATTATTTCTCTCTTAAGCATGATCAAACTGATTGATAAACTACAAATGATGTATGTCAACTAAAATCTGAATTCACATTTTCTGCATTGAAAGACATATGTATATATCATTGCCTGAAGAAAGACATATAATATTATATAATTTTACCGTTGTTATCTCTAAAAGGTTATTTTATCTCTATGGTATAACAGCATGGCTTCTAATGTTTTAAAATTCGTATTCTAACCTTTCATATTCTTTACTTGCTTAAAAAACTATTTCTCACAACTTACGTATCATTGTTACTGTCACACAAATCACCTAGAAGGTCATGGTCAGTGTCGAGCTGGAAGGTAGAAAAAGTTTATCTGACTAGTTTATCTGACAATTCTGGGGAATTAAAAGAAATAAATTAGCTATCATTTTAATTTATCAGGGATGTCGTAAACGCATAGAAAATAAGACATTTGATGGACACTATTTAAAGGTCATCTTTTAATACGCAGGAATAAAAGAATATCTCATTGTTATACAGAAGGAAATTCATAGATAAAAAAGTAAGTGAAGGTATGATTATCGATGTGATTTGAATTATTCCAGAAAATTAGATAATGGGTCATTGAACGTTAATAGAGATTGTATAATTGCCAATTATAAGCCTTCAACGGAAATTTCTATAAATACATGAAGATAAAAGAAGGGCATTTACCTGGTCTGGATTCTGTGTGTCAGGGCAATTATCACAGGCGTCACCCACATTGTCACCGTCAGTGTCTATCTGGTCGGCGTTTGCTTTCTTAGGACAATTGTCTTCTTCATTTAAAATTCCTGAATACAAAAAAGGTTTGAATGGCGATAAAATAAATTATACCATGCAAATGTAAATTGAAGGCATTTGAAAGATACGTTCACGTCTCGTATTGATTAATCGTACAGTCAGACTAACAATATATCAAAGGCAATTAATTCTCCATTCTTTTTATATATGTAGAAGTCGAATGAGTCATTTCAGTTGTTGTTGTTGTTGTTGTTGTTGTTGTAAAGGATTCATAAAATATATATTTACCGGTATTTTATATCAATTCCTATTGTACTAAATACATAACTCAAAAACTAAATATCGTTTAATAAGTGATATTGAAGGCATTGAAAGTATTATTTATAATATACAACGCACAAGTTTGGCGATTCACTACTTTCTCTTCCTGACCATGAAAATAGCAGTAGGTCCATTTAGACATTCAAGGCTTTATTGATAGATCCCTACTATGACCTTTCAATTGAATAACAATAGAATTAACCACAAACATTGACATGTGCACTTTTTTTAACAAATATGTTGTTGTGAAATTCTTATTGTATCCACTAATGATACTTATAATTAGATAGGTCAGAGATCTATGCATTTTATATTAGCATGCTAGGACTAAAATACGATGTAAGGATGATTAAACCAGAATGGCAAGATGTTCAAGATGCCATGATGAGATGATGAAGTTGAATTGCACGGTGGTAGAATAGCAATCATAAGATGATACGATTGAGAATCCGCCAATGTACCATGGTTCTTTTCTCCATCGTACCATCGCATAATAGTGACTTTTTTACAGCGTTATTGTGCTTTCATAGTTATATTCCATTGCGTTTTCATCATCGTGCAATAATACTATCGTTGTTTTGTCCTCCTTAGCACGTGTATCGCATGGTTAGGGTGTAAAAAGGTTGCAATGGTTCAAATGAAACACCATTTGAGAGAAACGTGCAAAGCATTGGACCCTATATACATTGAATATTTATTTTTAGATTTATTTGATTATTTGAAGAATAACGCGTTTCAATACAATTCGAAACATAGATAAAAAAAATAGTGTACCATCGTTGTCCATATCCGGATCGCATGCATCTCCGAGTCCGTCATTGTCCGTATCGTCTTGATTACGGTTCGGAATCTCCGGGCAGTTGTCACAAACGTCGCCGGACTCGTCCGGATCCTCTTCCGTATTGCTTTGGTCTGGATTTACATGGAACGGACAGTTATCCTAAACGTGTATAAAGACAAGTTCAGTGCATTTACGTTTACGTATACAGCCATATATAAAGTTTTAAAAATGTAAGATTGAATAAAGTAAAATATTTTCTACTTTTTATATGAACTGTGTAACACTCATTAAAACCTGTTCCAATGTCATACCTACCTTCCACTCGATCTATAGATGCAAAACTCGTCTTCTAATAACAATAATAATAATAAAGTTCGATAATTTTTCATGACATTTAATAATATCTTTAGAAGATAAAACATACTCACTAGCAGAAATAGCTACAGGCATGATTAATTTGATATTTAATGTCAAAGTGCGGATGAAACGAAGTGACTGTAACCTAGTTAATTTGTTTAAAGTCTGAAATATAAAAGTACGATTTTATGCTGTGAACTTCTTGATTGATTATAAAATGTTCTTATCATTGGGCAATAAAATCGGTCTCTCTGTGTTGTATGGTGTCTGATTTGTTTTTGTGTTTTCGCCCTGCGAACCCGCCAAGCGAAAGGTCGAGAATTAACAAGTTCAAATGGCGGAGGCGCGGATCGAAAACACGCTAATTAGCGGATGCGCGGGGCGAAATTTAATACGAGATAGTGAGATACCTACTTAAAATCAATAGTAACACTTTTTATCACGGTTTTAACTTTAACAGTACAATTTACCCGGAGAACGATAACATATTTGTCAGTGTTGAGAGCATGGTTCTAAAAAAAACATGTCTTTAACTTCTAGCATAATAATAATTATGGGAAATACCTTCATGTGGAATGATGGCATTCATTTTGACGTCATATCACCAAGAGACGTTTATGTAACGTTAATTTGACAAAAATCTGTAGCATAATACGTTACAGCAGTGTTATTTTGAAAATGCCCAAATTAGCGACGTCAGATAAAAATGCGGCGCAACGCGATTTCATTGAATACTGTGTTCAGTTGAAGAAGCGTCCAGCGTTAATTGGCAGCATGGAGAACATTATATTTTATCAAGATAATGCACCTGGTCATAGATCTCAGGAGACACAGATTTAACTTGATGTGATAGGTTTTCAGAGACTTCCGCACGCCCTTAGACTGTGCTACAGTTTGCAGAGTTTCCTTATTTGAAATCACAATTACGAGGTCACAGTTTCAAAAACTTCAGCGAATTCCGCCAGGAACATCTACGAGTGTTGAGTAAATTAAAGCAGGACTACTCTTAAAACGTTTATGATAAATGCTGAAAGTGCACCGAGAAACACGGAGAATACTTTGAAAAGCATTAAAAAACCTTATAACATCATGACGTTTATAACGGCGTGCGCCGGGTATGACGTGTAGGTAGCATTGTTTAAATTTTGATAACTTGGTCAACTTAGGAGGTATTTTGATTTTATTTCGCATAGACACACATAAAAGGTGTATTGACCTTTCCCTAGCTGGATTTCTCTAATGTGTTATAATTGATTGAGTAACAGACTTTGTCTACGATATTTTGGGACAACCCTCGTAAATATAAAACGCGGGGGCGTGGAGCGTGATTTAAGAAATAAAACGCTTCGGCCATTATTCATATATTTTGTAAGGTGACTGGTAGGGATCATACATGTCTGTTGTTTGCATGTCTAAGTTGAATTCTGACAATTTCTCAGGAAGACTTTAATCATTTCTTTACAAAGAACCTAAGTGAACAAATCTGCCACAAACTGAAGTTCTTGTGACACGCACTGTCTGACATACCGGAGAGTTTGGAATGCCGTCGTTATCTTTATCTGGATCACATGCATCACCCAGACCATCACCGTCCGCATCTTCCTGACCACTGTTTGGTACTGTAGGGCAATTGTCCTGAAATAACGAAATTACGTAGATAGATAACTTCATGTCAGCAATGGAATATGCAGTATGCATTGTTTTTACCTTTGGTCTGCTGCATTTATGTTGAATGACTCATGATCTCATTTATTTTAAAGGATAAACATTCAGCTGAAAACAGTATATACCCGAGACAGCACTGCACGGAAGTGCAGACTGGTCTGGTTTTAAACTGGCGACACAGGCTAAACACTTCCGGTTCCGGTAGGTAATAGGTAAGTGTAACAATTTGGCATGTTAGATCAAATTCTATAAAACATTATACCGCATAAGTACTTTTTTTCTGCGGGAACTTTATTTCTGCTATTTCTGCGGTTTATAACGACACCGCAGATTTAAAAACCGCGAAAATTAAGCCTTTCGCTATGTCTACATGAATGTCGGAATATGTCAACTACATGTATTGTATAATTACATTACCATGTACCGTTATCAGCTTTTGTAGATGGGAATTATTTTTCTTTATGTATCCGTCATGAATAAAATATTAGAAAAAAGTTACCTTACTTGTTCTTTTTGTTTAAAAAATATCATGTTTGTATGATTTTCGCTCACCCTAAGCTTGATTTATTTTAAAAATAAAACTATTACAGTTTGACGGGTGCAATAAACATACCCTTTTGTAATTGTACAATATATTGTGTCTAAGTGCGATATTACCATTGTTTATTTTTCACACTTCATATTTATACACATGCAGTATTACAATTAATTGTTGTCATTGCATGTTGTTGATTTTTGTTTATTAACGTTTTGTTTATTGCGTTCATTGAACGCCGCCTTTCCTTGTTGATCTTGTTTATCATATTTTATATACCGATACATGGTGATCACATGAACCCACATTATAAGTTGTCTGCATGTTTACCGTGAGTAATATACATGTTACATCAACATATCTTGAAATGTTGTCTGTTTGTATCGGTTAATTTTGTAAAAATATCTAAATTAAAACGCAGAAATAAAAAACATCGATGCGAGAATGATGACACCGCAGAAATAAGATACGCAGAAATTTAAAACCCCTTATTTTAAACAAAATCGCAGAATTTTAAGCCCGCAGAAATAAGTACTTATACGGTATAACATATATTTTATTCTATGTATAACTTTAACAAATATATTACTGAAAGAATATGTCAAGAAAAGTCATGTGTATATACACTATCAGAAATAAATTATTACGATTTACAAAAACCACTTGTAAAGAGGAAGAAAGACCATAACTGAATATAACAAAATAAAATGTTTATGTACATGAAACACTATTGACATTACATCTTCTTATTTTAGTACTATGTCTTCTAAATAAAAATAGGACTAGAAATGCTTTACATTTGCATATTAGTCGGAGTAATTCATATAATTATAAAATAGATTTGAAATATTACGACATTTAATATTAGCCAAACTGCCTAAAGGGAGGAAAACGCACCAACTTCAACGCTTTTACTTACGCCGGAGTTACTTCCCATTTTATCAAGGTTAAAATCTTTAAACTGAATATTTGCGAATATAAAACAAAACTAATCAAAAGTTCTGGTAACTATATAACGTATAAACCATTTTAGAAACAAAATGAAATTAAAAAATATGTACTGAATAGATTACATTTATCTACAACAATCTCATTATTTCACAGTTTACTATAAGTGTTGGAAATAATTTAGTCATGTCTTGACTGTGACATTAACACGAGTTGATAACATCAACATGTGTTTGTCAGTGTTTAACAGTCGCAGGCCCAACTGGACTATAAAAGCCAGCAGATGGCGCTAGGGCAGGTTTCTTATTAATCTTATGCATGCTTCACTTCAGGGACCCTTTTTCAAAGATTTAAGATTAATTACCAAATGCATTTAAACAACACTTGGCATGTATGTAGGCATGGATATTCTTGATATAGATTGACCAAAATTATTCAAAATAAAACTTTGTTAAGTGTGTCTCTAGAAAAAAATACTGGCTGTCAAATTTGAAATTTGAATTTCCATGGGAGGAGCCAACTGATCATTACAGGTCATGAACCTTCAGTAGTAAACAGATGCACGTGGCAGTGTTTATTTCAGTGAGAGAGATTTGTAGCAGACGATATAAATTTCAGGGAGGGAGATTTTCAGCAGACGACACATTCGAATGCTGAATACATGATTAGAAAAAACAATAACTTTTACTGATCTTACTTTATCAAAAAGTATTTATATCCAACAAATTTACAATAATCCATTAATCTATGATTTTTTTTAAATTTCAAAGTACTGATTCAACTTGTATTTAAATGGTTTAAACTTCATGAAAACAGTAAAAGTAACTTCCATGTATATTTCATTTACACTATATTTTGTTGTAAATATCTTGTAGTCAAAATTACATTTCACAAATGTTTATCATTTGTATAAAATTTTTATATATTAATAGTTTAAAATATTTTAAATTCCTGTCAAGATCATTTTTAGCAGTTTTTCTTAAAAGAAATGTCCCATGTAAGGCACATCCTTTGGATTTGGACATAGTTGTCTGACTTGATGAAAAACAACTGACTTCAAAAATAATATCTGGACAAGATGGCTTGATAATTTCTTTTAATTAATCTGATTAATCTGTGAGATATATAAAACATCCATTAAACCTCTCCTGTGTAAAATCAGCTGTTTTGTTTACATTCTCTCTGCAGGTTAACACTGCATTCTATTTTTAGCTCATGGTTTATAACAGACAGTTTTACATCACTGATTAGTCACACCCACAAATACTCGCTGCCGCGGCAGCGAATGTTGCCCCTATATCATAAACTAAAAGATAACGAAAGTTGAAATGACCTTGATACGCTCATATATAAAATAATGAGACGTTATCGTGCACTGGGTTGTTAGTTTATAAAGTTAAATCTACACACTATATTTAGCTCGATCTACAATATTCTAAAATGGATGCCGTAGTGAAATGGATAAGGATTTTCCTCCTAACATTTATTTGGCTTCCGATGGAAGTTGTTAAACTTCTTTTGGCAAGATATGTGTCAAAAAGTATGGACAGAGCGATCACTGAAGACACCGGTGTTATAATGAAGGCTATTGGATGGGATGAAAAGGATTATGCAGGATCTACTTATTGTCTCGGATATGTGAAAATGTGGTACCGCTCTAGATTTCTTGACATTATGAAAGAAGCACAGCGCGGTAAACTGGCACCAAACTCTGACGTCATCATGCTTGGTGACCGGAAACTCTGCAAGATTCTTGACTTTCAAACAAAAGGGAGGCCACTCATATTGAATTTCGGAAGCTGCACCTGACCACCGTTTGTCGCCAAACTTTCCAAGTTTCAAAAACTTGTTGATGAGTTCAGCGACAAAGCAGACTTTCTTGTTCTTTACATAGAAGAAGCGCATGCATCAGACGGTTGGAAATTTAGAAATAATTACGATATAAATACACACAGGGACTTGAACGAGCGATTAGCTGCAGCGAGAAAACTTGAATTACTTGATCCACATTGTCCAATTGTTGTAGATACAATGAACGATAGTGCAAATAAAGCTTACGGTGCCTTATATGAACGTTTGTATATAGTAATAGATGGAGTTATTGTGTACGAGGGCGGAAGGGGACCCATGTGGTACAAAATTGAAGAAGTAGAGGGATGGCTGAAGATGTATTTTAAAAGCTAGATATTAAACTAGAAATGTGATTCTAATCCAACGATAATTGCCATTATCACCCGTTCTTGTAATGGAAAATGTTTATATTTTTTATATCCCGTTTTTGTAATTGAATATGTTTATATTCCATTACAAAAACGTATTCAAGTTAAAGAACTTGGTAAAATTCCTGAAAATATGAAAAAGAGCGTATTCAAGTTTACGAACTATGTAAAATTCATGAAAGTATGTATTATCAATATTTCAATGGCAGATGACAGTGGGAATATATATGTTGTACAATCTATAATGACTAAATCTGCTGAAATTGCTTTTTCAAGGCAGATTTATGAAGCGATTTGTACAACTAGTGTGTAACAGTGTCATTCTCATTTCTGTATTGGTTATACCTATAGATTATCAAGTTGTATTGTTATATGAATTATTTCATCATGATTAAATATTCATCCTTATTTTTTTCCCTTGTATTTTATGGTTATGCACAAGTACATAACAGTTTATGTACAGAGTAGTTTATGCACAAGCACAATTACGTGACCTGAATCAAGATTTGAACATTACATAGTTTAAAAAATATAAAAACAGAACAAAGTCGTAATGCAATATTCGTATAATAAGGTTTAGTTGTCTTTCGATAATTGTGTTCGTATTTATTCGGTATAATTCGTCATGCTTCGTATATATGTTAATACGGCTACAGGTCGCATCTAGGATTTGTGTACATTCAGGGATTATGGGTAATCTAAAAGTCTGACACGTATTGATACAGCATGGTCATTTCAAACACATGATAATGAAAAGTTGATGTTAGTTTTGTAATCGTTATGCATCTGCGTGCACTTTTATTTTCCGCAAGGCAATACTTTCTATAATTGAAATTGTAACTTTTAAATTGCACTTTTATCCATATAACTCATATCTGTATGTTAATGTGAATATGTGTAAAAATTATGTTAAAATAATGTATTTATAAGATAGCGCAAATTCAATATATAAAAATAATTGAACCTAAAAATACAATGTATACCGATAATACGATGTTCATTTATAAGATAAGGAGGTGACATAGATATCATGTTACATAAAGAGACTGTAGATAGTTTTTACCTTGCGACAACGTTTGTCGGTACACGGTATGGCATCATCAGGTGTACCGTCTATATCTGTATCCCGGCTGCATATCTTCCCGTCACCAGCGTAACCAACCGTACACTGTGTTAACATAACATGTTTTTATAGTTCATCTAAACACATAAAAAAACAGTTATATTTTTAAAAGGAATAACATATACTTCATGGACACATTTTTTTTCCAAATAATATTAAGAATGATTTGCAATTTCAGTGCAACTATCTTTTAAAAAGAAGTTGTTAAGAATTCATGAACACCATATAATTACTGCAACAAAACGAGATCAGATGTGACATGCCACTTTGTCTTAAAATTGCTATTCTGCTCCCACGAGATACTAACTTGAGTGACGACTTAGTATGTCATGATAACTAGTAACTTACCCAGGGACCGGGATAAAAAAAATAGAAGTGCCAAGCTGAAAACAGTACTGCATTTGAAAAAGAAATGAGTAGTGATAATACTAGTCATTATTTCTTCAAACTGTTACAGAGTACCTGGCAAATAAACGGAAGTATTCTTTCAACAATAGTAAGTCAACACTTCGTGTGGCATTTAGGGAGACGTGACTTGAAACCTCTTTTGATGTTTATACACGTACTTTTCCATTGTAAAAAACTCAGATAGTACTAATTTATCTTTAAATAACATTAAAGAGTATATAATAAAGAATAAAGAAGAAAATATGACAATCACACAGAGGAATTCAATATCTCGTGTAACAGTTCCTTCCCCTTGATTAAGACCATGTCACTTTTAAAATCGCAAATTTGTGTTGTACGAGTATAACATTAGCTGAATGTTATAATTATATGTATTTTACATAGATAAGAAAAAGAACATGTTTTGTCCGTTTTTGTTATCGCTTGCTACTCTAAATGAATTATATGAAGTTTATCAGACTGCAAATCAATGAACATTTTAGTTTCATTATTTTGGTAAAGATTGTGTTTACAGTCAAACCTGACAGTCAAACCCTTCCGATACCACACTTGGTAAACATCTTGCATATTCGCTGCATTCGGTTAGATCTGGACATAACGTAACTCTCCGAAGACATCCGATTGTCTGGTTTCCGGCATACCCAATTAAACATTTTCCGCATTCGTAAGATCCCTAGAAAAATCGAGATGTTTTAAATGAAACCTAGCATCAAGAGTTCATTTCGACATGTTGAAAATATTCTAAAACTATTAATTTCAGTATAATGTTTTTTTTTTCATACATGTTCTTTATTACGTAATGACTGTGATGACGTATCATAAAGTTGAAATCGTGAATTCATGAAGATGAAGTTGGTAATTCATGCAGTTGAAATGTCTTTACTGGTCTTCGTAACTATTTTCAATCACTCCAATGGCACCAGCACTTAATTATAAATTTACGCAAACTCCATCTTCATTTATTTATACATCATCTATTAAAAGTCGTTTTAATACAGATATTGACATTCATGTCCTTTTACAAAGAGGTCGACTCATAAATGTGAAAATGTTGGTAGCCATAAAGGACATGTATGAAAATAAAGATCTTGAGATAATTGTCATATTGCTTTATTGAACATACTTTTAGTATATGTTTTAACAAAGTTTCTATATACATGTATACTGCAATTAACATGAGTCATAAAACAATCAAACTAGGATTTATATAAGTATGGATTGGTTTATAATGGGCACATTTTCAATATGTATTTCATCAGCATCATTTGGATACTAGTAAGACTCGTATTTTTTAAAAATGATGCCAGGGTTCAAAATAATGTATGAACTTACAACTGTATTGAAGCACTCGGAATTTTCAACGCACGGACCGCTAGGTGGCGACAATGCACACTCATCCAAATCACTGCATGTCTGAAAACAAACACAAGTGAATTTCTGGTACGATAGTGGGTGTGAAAATAATGATATGCAAGTATGTTCAAACTTTCGTCCTATTATTATTTATAGATCAATATGTTTGACTACAGTGATTCTTGTATATATAGAAAATATGGCGACTGCACGTTAAGAAAATTAACAATTTTCTCTTTTATTTACAGCCGGCCGTATAGGCACATAGGAATATAATTTAATTGGGGTATTAAAGCAACTCATACATCAACATATAATATTAATGAATACAAAATTTTGAATATTTTGAATGTCATAATCAAATATCGTTTTTTATATATTCTGAATACTCATGTGTACAGTTTAACGGGTCCCTCTGTGATACCTGTTTCATTGTTTTGGCCTCTTCAAGTCCGACTCCCTCTACATCCTCCCCGATATATCCCACCGGACAGTCTTCACACCGGAAACCACCAACAAAGTTCGTGCACAAACTCTTATTGTAGCACGGATTGTGAAACATACACTTAAATAGAGTTCAAAAATTTATTGAAGAAATATTCCAAATTGTCAGAATAAGAGACTTAGTGTAAAATCTTAATTGTTACATGATGCAATAAAGGTGCAATGAAATAATTATTTGTCGTTAAACACATATATCTGTTAAATGCCATAACATGTCTTTTTCTTTGCTTTCTTTGCTTAATCAAAATAAGTTTTTAAATTAAATTTACCTCATTCACATCCTTACAATCTGTGCCATTTCCTTCGTATCCCCTCGGACACGGACCGCATCGGAATCCCTCGGGTGTGTCAATACATTTTACATCCTTGGCACAAGGATTGCTCTCACAACCAACTCTTGCCACCCTGCAGTTTCCGCGGCGTCCGTCACCTGTGAGTCCAGCTGGGCACGGTCCACACCGGTAACTGTCTCCAACGTTGAAACATTTTACACCTGAATCATCAAGATGAAAACATGCCTAATATATATTCTCAACAGTGACGTCTGCATGGCGGCAAATTGTCGTTTCCTAGTACATGGGCCCCAGAACAACAGTATCCATTTGCGCTAAAAACTAGTTCTGTGTAATTCAGAACAAAAACGTACACATATATGTACAAAGTAATCACTTCGTGAAAGACATCATATATTCATTATATTTGTTTAATTAATTCCATTGATAAATTGAGTAGCGTACTGTGTCAAAGTCAATGTGAGAGGAGGGTCAGAATTTGCAATAGAGATTTGCATTACTAACATGAACATGTTGTGAATAAAATACGATACTAATAATATCATTCGCCTTCCAGCAATACTTTATTTTCTTGATTATTATAAAAGTAACTTACAAAATCAGGTTATAGATCATAATAAATAAATTACACAACATATAAAATATGTGATCTTGTGTTTTAAAAACCTTTTATACATCTTATCTTTTAACATATCTATAAAGGTTAACTTTCATGTAATAAACTTGAATTTTTGTTATATACATGTAATGAAAGGAATACAGTTGGGCGGGCTAATTATGCATTTTTAGCAAGTCTACACTTATTAATACTAGTAATTCACTACACGTGTTGAAAAACGTTATATTATATATTTATATTTTCATTAGAAATGCACAACCCTCTTACGAAATGATCCTAATCTGAAATGTATGTACATGTATTTGGCATGCACCGTTTTAGATTATAAACAAGTGCTTTTTAAGTATGTGAATTTAATACAGAGATAAACAGCTCTGAGTTACCTCTGTAGCATGGATTATCGGCACATGTTGGTATTTTTGCGCATCTTGCTCCATCTCCATAGTAACCACGCGGACATTCTCCACATCTGTAGCCTCGTTCTGTGTCTTGACACGTGACGCCGGTAAAACACGGATTGTTCCGACACGTTGTAACCTGTCTAGCTGGGACGACTTCAATTAAACAATCAAGCGAACATTGGTCTTTGAGCTTACATTAATAATTAAGCCTTAGTATGTTTTCAATATTCAAAGCTGAAACATATATTAACCATTTGATGAAACAGTTAACAAGTGTTATGATGCATACATGTATATATTATTGATTGTAAGACCGTTGCTCCATGTATGTGGACACCTGAGGTGTGTTGATGTCAACTTTCACAAGATAATTATAACCGCACCCCCCCCCCAAAAAAAAAAAAAAAAAAAAAAAAAAAAAAAAAAAAAAAAAAAAAAAAAAAAAACAAAAACAAAAAAACACACACACACACACACACACACACACACACACAAACAAAAAACAAAAACACTAACGACTAATTGTTTTTCTGTTGTTTTCGGTTTGTTGTCACGTCACATGTCTCTGTTGTCTGTAAACATTTATTGTCCTTTTTATTATTGAACTATTATTGAACTGTACTATGTTTCGATTTTTTGTGAATATACATGTACTTCAAAATACTTCCTTAATTAGTACTTACCTCTTTCCTGTCTTCTGCACATCTCGCACTGTCTGAGAACTTCGTGAAGTTGTCTTGTTTCACGAGATTGTAACTGCATATCTCTCTGCATAACTCGTATAGCCTGAGTTAGCTCCCTTAATGATTGACTTAACGTATAAAACATAGGATCTGTAATGTAAATACACTCCTTAATTTGTGTACGCCTACATAGAATTTTATTTATAAATAACTGTTGTAACAAAATATATTTCGTCATAATCGAAACTGACAAACATAGCTGCGGGTTTTGTTTTTGGCAAACATAAATACATTAAAAGGAGATAAACGTTTTTCATCGTGCAATATAAATCAAACACAGAAATATTCAAACGAGCCTTGCTTTGTGCTTTTGTTTTTTTTCAAAGATGACTTCTTCTTTTTAAAGTGGATCAATTACAAGATATTGAGTACAAAGAGATTGCTTGTTATTAAGTACATTTACCCGACTGAGGGATCTGGTTAGTTCTACGATCGCGAGTATCACGTGCTTCTTCTCTTATACGGTTTCCGGCCGGAACAATACGAACGTTAGTCACTCCAAGGTTCTGCTGTTTTCTATTTCGTAACCAGTCTGGGAAGATCGGAATTGTCGATATTGAAATAGTTTCAATCGGGTCACAGTCAAGGTATTGAAGCATTTCCTGTAAGTCCACCCGTGAGTAAAATTTTAGTTTTTCATGACTGTCCTGAAATATACACAAGTAGTTCTGTATTCTTAGACGTGGTCAGTATTTTTACGTGACGTATTCTTTCTCAAGGTAAGCAATGATCTGATTATACTACTGGTATTAATATTCAAAGGTGTCATCAGTGATATTTAAACTGATATTCCACGTGCAATTATACACGTGTAAAAATCATGGTTTTGTGTCGTTTGAATTCAAAAATATACCAGACACATACTATGTCTTACTTTGAAAGTTTGAACTTTCATTTGAATAGATTATGAACATTTTATTCATTCCATGAAATAAGTTAGAATTCTATTGTCAGTGGATTGAACATACTTTGGTTTTAAGTAAAAACTTAATACAATGTATCAAGATTTACCATTGTTTATATAATGTGTCATAATACATATCATATGTTATATTATGTATCATAATTTACCACAATGATTCTGCCCATAAACGCATCTCTGATGGGAATTTCTGTGTTTTCCTCTTCCAATATAGGCTGGCAATCTACGAACAGGCGCACTTTATTTGTATTCTTGTTTAATTCTGACAGATGAATCATCAAGTCATGATCTCCAGTCACTAGTGGGTCCAATTTAAACGATGATTGAAACTGCCTTTGGTCACGTGTCCAAATGATCAAGAACACTGGAAGATTGAAGAAGTTTGTCAAAGCAAAATATGGAACTAGACTCATTTTTATACAGAAACTTCTAGTATATAAAATACTAATTAACACTTGTCGTCATGCACTCACTGTTTAATTGTATAATCAAAATAGTATTGATAACCTAACCTTTTTGATGCACAGATAAACTATCTAACTTTAATAAACTTTTTTACGTCAAAATTAATCTAAAATATCATCCTTTGTAATGGTTTTGTTGCTTTGAAAACGCTTCATTTACAAAGGTTTTATTCACATTTAATGTCTGCGGGCTAAAGGTGATATTGCAGACGACAATGCAATTAAATTTTCAAGAGACAGACTGGATTGACTTCGTGTTATTGTCAATCTTTGTTATTTTTTCTTTATCAGTGTAGTATCAATTTGCTATTTAATTTGTTACGAATCTTGTAGACTGTCAATACTCTGAAGCAAAAAGACAAGTTTTGTTAAACCTGGGACTAAAAATGTAACTTTCCGTCCCAGGTTAAACGTATAGATGCTATTTGTTAACGCTGCTTATAAATAAGGCAATAGATTACTTAGCAATTCAATATCATTTTAAATGTACATGTATAACATTCGAAAGGAAATGTATTTACATTCATTTTGCTTAAAATGTGCATGCATTGTTTCCATTATTAAGCTTATAAGCTAACTTCTAAATTACCTCTAGATAGTTTGAAGTATTATTGTAACAAAAAAAAAACTCCAATTTGTGAGTTCCATGAGAAAATTCACTTTTTCACCACATACATTTTAAATTACAATTTTGAAATCTTACATGTTGAAATACGTGAATCCCATCTGATTAAGAAGGAGCTGTCGGGAGTAACTTGATTTCGCCAAAAGTTCCTGACTTGTATTAATGTTTCAGGTCTGTCACCCTGTATCACACCGACCAGGTACAACTCCGGGTTCAAAACGAAAGCCTCCGGATACTCATCAGCTTTAACTGTAAAGATAACAAACAAGAAATATAAGTCTTAATACACAGTTTACAATTAGAATGAACTTCGAGCTGCACAATTTAGTTAGCACATAAATATCTTTCATCTGAAAGAAACATATAAGTAGTCACAATATACTTTGGTGTTTTAAAAATAGCACATCTGGGTATATATTTCACCGAGACATAAATTATAGAGTTGTTTTATAGGATCATTATCGAGTTGAATTGTACCACTCGTAATTTTCATAAAGATTTTCAACTTTGCACTTAACATGCACTTATCTAAATCAAATTACTATAAATTTTTTACGTCTTTGAACAGCGTGTCTGTTTCTGGAGATATCTCGTTATAGGCACCTCACCACCTTGTTACTATATAACTTAAACTGTTGGACATGAAATAGTCTTTTACATCTTCATCAATATCAATTGAAAAAAAATCTTCGTTAATTTCAAGCCTAATCACGTCATATTGTTTGTTTAAAGTTACGTTTTAATTAACGAAAATAATGTTTATAAAATGCTTACCTTCAACAGGGTCTTGACTGCTTGATGTCTTTATACAAAGTATGATACAAATTATCACAGATAACAAATCCATAGTTCAAGTTTAATAAACTCTTTAGAATTAAAAAGTCATTGGTGGTTTAAATGGAATAAAAATGCAATTCTTGATTATAATGGAAACACAATTAAACACATTTTATCTAGCTATTTTTTTCCATTTATACTTTTTATATTTAATAGGTTTAGAAATGATTCATTGACAAGTGGAAAGTTAATCCAAAATATTTTAATTTATTTTTCTACGATCACATATTCTTGAATCTTAAAGTAACCAATTTGACGCGAACAATATCTATAAAAAACTTTTCTTTCCGAAATAACTTCTGTATTTGAAACTCGATATCAGTGAATATAAATTCAATTTTTCGCTTCATAAACTTTTCGTCTTCAATTGTTAAAGATATACAGTGATACAGAGAAAATACGCCACATCCAGCCTCGTTTTCGAGTGCAGAATCCGTCAGATTTAAAGGGTTTGGACATGTGTTTTACGAAAATAAACAACACATGTTTCAATTTCCCCTTAATTTGCACATAATGGACTACGTGATAGCCCCGACTGTGAGTTTGAAACCGATCTTTATCGTCTGCAAACATTTATTTATTTCGTTTGCGAAAAGAATGAAATAAAACCGTAGGTTTTTGTCATGAAACGCACAGTCAGTTTTTAATTGTATTATGAGTATATTACAATCGCTTCATCATAGAGTTTACTAGAGGTTTAAATTAAAAAAAAGAATCTTAAAAATGCCACGACCAATGCAAAGGAAAGGAGTTATGCTGGGAAAAATATATCAGAGTGATTGTGCTAATGCATAGTATTTCTATTTTTAGTTAGTTGTTTACCACAAATATTGAAACTTCGCTTTTTTGTCTAATTTGTTATGATTTCGACGTGAAACCTTGAAAACACCATGAATCTACGCATTATTAAATACAATAACAAAACAATATAATGAAAACTGTACGTTACATATGTTGATGATAATAAAATAAAACAATACTGAATATAATAATGATAAATAAAATAATAGCAAGGATCACGAGATGGAGTGGAGATTTAGAGGTTATTATCCTAAACTCCTCAAAGAATACGATTCAGTCGTTAAAAGAAAAGTCATTATCCTGATTAATTTTTGTTCAGCAATATGTTGATGCTATGACCTATTTTCACATGACCTTTGATAACGTTTTACGAGCAAGCGATTTTAGCTGTACCACTAGCATGGAATTAACTCAGCATTAGCTTTAGGTGCTTGCAGAATTCACGAAACAAAGTAGAAAAATATCGCTTATCTTTCATTTTTCATTTATTAACTATATAGATAGGTTGGAATAGATGAATTAGATGTTTTAAAATGCATTTCGGTGGGTAAAAAAAGCATATAATAAAATCATATACATTCAAGCGCCTAGTCTATATATATCGGAATACGGTATTTAGTGTCGTGATTTAACTTTTTTTAGTCTCACTGAAACTAGAATACATTGTCTAGTTTAATCAGTCCCGCAGTTCAACAGTTGTAGTTTCGTCGCTCAACACTTCTAGTTAAGTTCCTCAGCTAAGCTTTTGAAAAAGAGGAAGGGAGATAACTACCGAATTACATGTATTTATTTGAATCAGATTTGTGTCCCTTGAACTATTACCCGCTTTAATTTATCTAATATATATCCGCTGTGCAGTATTTTTTAATCTTTTTACTTGTAAATGGCTTTCCCGGAAAGTTTTTTATGTATTGTTTCATTCAGATATTATAAGTAAATGACCATTGACCTTCATCAGAGGATTTAAGAAAGAATTATAAGTTTATCTTTATCTTTTAATTAAAATATGAAATATATAAATTATTCCTATATAAAACTAATGGTAGAAATGTCTTAAGCAAACAAAGGAGTTACAACAAGTACAGAGAATATGGCGAGAAACATGGTAAATATATAGAATAGAAATGTAATGGTATCAATAACATCGGCAACAAAATACCACTGATATTTCCTAGAAATACACGCAATAACTGACTGTTTATTAGAGTTAGTATCGGACACTTGTTTGTCAGTACAAACATTGCTATGCTGTTGTCCGGATCTTATTGCTTTTCTATATGACGATCGATGTCCAGAAAAGCCAGGGCTAAACGATGTTTCCTCACAATCACTGTCATCGTCCTGAAATGAATGATTCACATTTTCAAGTCTACTGAGGACGGATATTTCACTAGGTCTGTGTAACAACAGTTTGTCAGTATAACTGGCCTCCTCTATAAAATTGCCGTTATTGTTTGAATAACGATATGTGGATTTCTTGTTTGCGAATATGGCGTGTTTAGTTTGGTTGTGTTTTCTTCTTGGCTGTTCTGGGGTGTACGTATCCTCCATGGAATTGTCCGACGGAAATTCCTGCAATTGAACGTACTGCGCATGTGCAGAATCTGATTTATCTGTCATTACAAAACTGTCAACTGTTGAAAGTAACTGAACACGTTTTGACTTCTTTTCATGCGATAACAGACGATCTTCTGGGTTTGACGCAATACGTTTCCAATCTGACATGCGCGCGCATATTATTTTACTGAGATAATTTTCACAGAAATATAGTAGACGCTTGGGTACTTCCGGTGGAGGTTCAAGGTATGATAAACGCTTGATATTCATCACTAACGTAGCGGTGATCAAGGAAATACAGTTCAAAGACATCACAAGCAAAAGAAAGACGCCTGAAAAATCAAAATATCAAAGTGAATATTCAATTAAAATAAAGTCAGTTTTTTTATAATAAACACTATTTCATTTTTGCAATGTAAAGGGACTTAATTCTAAATGCTTCTAAACACAGAAGCTAAAAGGTCTCAAGGTGTTGTTTGTTGATTGTATGAAATTATTGCCAAAGCAAAATTATCTGAACTAAAGTTCCACATTCATGAATATAAATTTCATTCAGCATACAAACGTTTAATTTACCGATGATTAAAATTTATGTCATTATTTAATGAATTGAGTATCTATTTCTTTTCAACAAAGTGGAAATAAATATCATACTTATCAAAGGGGTTGAACTCGTGTCTGGAACATTTTCTGCTATCAAGAGTTGTAGAACATACAATGTCAGAAACACTGTCAGGCCTATTGCTATTTTCCAGCCACACTCACAAGGTAATAAAAATGTTGCTAATGTTAAAACACAGAGATTCAATGTAGGGGCTATGACGATGTAGTCATAATAGTTAGTCTTTCTCTTCAACCGGATATTCAAATGTACCATAGGATGTTTCGAACCGTGTAGCGAACTGTTTACGACTTTCCGTGCAATGCTTGCTGAGTCTATGTCAAACTCATTGTTTAACACATAATTTGACAGATCTGGTTTTTCACTTTGTAGAATGATGTCTATTTGTGATATATCATATATCCATGAACCGAAACGTATGTCACAAGTTTGCTTGTCGTACGGGAAGAACGTGGCATCCACGGGGCATGCGCTCTTTATATGTATTGGGACAGGCCATGTCACATCACCATTAGAACGTACAAATACATTGGATCCATTACTGCTGACAAAACCATCAAGTGATTTCCCTGCTCTGAAAAGGTCGTTAAGATCATTCATGAAAATAGTTACGAGAACTCCTGGCAGCTTGACATATTGACACACTTTTGCTTGATTAGCAGAGCAGATTTAAAATAGTCTTATTCTTACTAGAAAATATGATTTGAATCATAGAAATAATAAGATTCTACAAAACATTCTAACAATCATTATCAAAGGATCATATTTTTTGTTTTATCTCCATATCAAAAACATGCGTTTTACATTCTTACCGAATGTTTTCTAAAAATAACATACATAGCAATGTAAATCGAGATTGAAAACCTATTTTGCTGACTTTAATCCCATAGTTTGCTTTGACTTTTCACAAATGATATTATCAACTCACATGTTGAATATATAAATATCAGGCAGCCATATATGCCGTGAAGAAAACATTATCTTGTCAATCCCCCGGAAATCTTCTGGATTCCATTTCAAAATTCTCTCATCTTTTTCTAAAAAAAATTCCCGCTCTTAAATTTTTTAAAATTTCTATTTTGTTTTCCTATTAGTAATGCTCAAAAGGTTTTAAATTTTTCATTTCCCACAGTTGCTGCTTACAGGGGGGAGTCAGGCGTGATGATGTTTTTTTTTATCTTTCAATCAATATTTGAGAAAAATTGCAAGCGAAAAATTAAGCCGAAAACATTTGAGCCGCGTCATGACAAAACCAATCTTTTTTTATTTACAATACGTGATGTATTTTCGTTTGGGTTAAATGATTACTTTTGCTGTGGTAGTTACTGATTTGCAACTTTCAAATTTAATTTGAGAGACTCAGTGTAATTTTAGTCTGAAGAGTTTCTAAGTGGTTTCATGGTACCTTGCCCAAGGTACTGTAGTATGTTTTATTGCAGCTTTAATGGCCCTTGGGGTTGACGAGCAGACATCAAATAAATGATTTTAATTAAAAATACCCTTTTAATCTCAATTTAATTCTAAACATGTATCATTGTGTGTTTTAAACATGAATAGAATCAAATCCAACTAAAAATACTTTAAGTTTTGTTTTTGTTTTTTTTTCATAGAAAACTAATAATACCTGATAAATCCAAACATATGTTGAGAGTACTTGGTGTTTTGCGTCCTGCAAAATAGAGAGTTGAATAATAATCTAAGAAAGTTGAATAATTTCTATACATCACTTTATAAATTGACAATCTAGAAGTTGTAATTATGCTTTTAATCATATTTGACAGTCGACGTCGATTTAGTATAATAACTAGAACTGTGTCCAAAGGACACGGATGCCCCCACTGACAACATATATAATATATGATATGGTATATAGTGAAAAAATCAACAAATGGCCATAATTCTGTTAAATTTGGTCGCAGCGAAAATTCCTTCCTTTACTACCATCTACCGACCTGGAAGTTTAAGCAAAATCTGCCGTCCGGTTTAAGAGGAGTTGCGTTCACAAAACTTCTATATGGCATATAGTGAAAAAATCAACAAAGGGCCATAATTCTGTTAAATTTGGTCGCAGCAAAACTTCCTTCCTTTACTACCATCTACACATTAAGGTTGTTCATCCCTGGAAGTTTAAGCAAAATCTGCCATCCGGTTTAATAGGAGTTGCATTCACAAGATTTCGGGACGTACGGACAGACAGACGTACGGACGGACGGACAAGCGCAACGGTATATGTTCCCCACTTTGTGGGGGCATAAAAATAATCACAAGGCTTGAAACCTTGCATAAGCATTGTTTCATTGCCAATTTCTCTTTTGTTTTTAATGTTGATAGAGTGGCAATTATTTAAGGCCACGTTAGAATATATCTCTGCATATGATACTTGTAGATATATTTTGCTTAAATTTGATATTTAAAATACTAATAATTGCTGTACAATCTCTTGTTTTGTGTGTAAAATAAATGTTTTTTGAGTACCTCCGAAACCTGTTATGTTTTAAACTCTACAAACCATATGAAACCACAGTATGAAGACGTAGAAAGGATCAAACCATCAAATTAATTCGATTAGCAATAGGGAACGCAGCAACAAAAACAGAATGTATGCATTCTCTTATACAAATTTGACATAATTAAATTATTCTGTTAAATTTTCCTAGATTTCAATAAATTTCTACAATTAAATTATTTTAATTCAGAGATGAGTATAGTATCTATTAAAGTATGTACATAATTTGAACTTAAATTTTGAAATTTTATCTCTAGATTATAGATTTGAAATAAAATGGAAAAATAAAACTCCATACCAGTTCTAAAATTTGGTTCAGAGCTATGGAAAAATGTACATCCACGTGCATCCATGCGTTCCTAACAGGGCGGGAAATAGAGTTATAATTAGCAGTTAGGTTTAAAAACAACATCCTCTCACTTCCTGTTTGATCTGTGTAAAATATAAAAGAATAACATTAACATGTTTATATACTAACTTTAGCAAATATTAAGTTGTTTTTAAAGAGAAATTAAAACGGAACATATCCTTTTAACTAGCTAAATTTACTATAAAGTGGCTGAGAACATGTTTAAAATGTCGAAACAGGGGCACGATATATAGTTATATATAAAAAATAATTCCCCCTTCCTGCAATAAACTATTCCGATTTTAATCAATATTCATGTACATTGCATTGATTTTCTGATAAACTCACAATCACAATATTTCATGTTTTCTTTAATCGTCGAGTATTGTCTTACCTTTTACGACATTTCCTTTTAAACGTAAAGCAAAATACATCAATAACCCAAAGGTTATCCATAAAACATTCGTCTTCTCAACCATTATTGTACGTACTGTTTCTCATCAAAGCTGTTTTTATTGCTCGTCATATTCATTGAAAATCCTTGTTTTTACCCATTCCTCTGATTTGTATGAAATAAAACAAGAACCTTGTGTGTAATAAAATCAAACATGGAAGTAATAAAAACCGGAATGAAACCACTCCATCATTTTAAGATTTTGCTTATGCAAATACTTTTATCAATCTTAGACCAATCGAATCTACAGGTCGAGTTGTTTTCAGGTAAAGCTAATTATATGATTATATCGTTCAATTGGTAAAGCACTGGGTCAAATTACAAAGCTTTTAAAATTTAATGCAGATTAGAGTAATTAAACGTAATGTTATATGAGACACGTTGAGAAATTTACAAATTGATATTTTATGTGTCCACATGTGCGTGTGTATAGTCCACTAGTGTGTATAGTTTTGAATAGTCCAATTTATTTTCCAAAAATGATTGTTAAAAACAGATATAGAATTATTTATATAATTACTTTCAAATTATATAAATATTGTTAAAATGATCTTTAATGTATATATGTTTTTGTTTGTTATATTTTTATTACATTGTATATATTTCTGTTGTCTTGACCATCATAAAAGTTATTGAAAATGGTCAAAGGCCTTTTTTATGATGATTTAGCCAAAAAAAACAAACTGTAAACTGTTAAAATTGACCTGTCGACACGTATTGTATATAAACAAAAATAATCCAAATAATAATCCGTTCTTTTAACAATTATTTCACAAAAGTAAGCAATGTTCATTAACTGTTATGTATCACTTTTCCTTAACCAACTAATACAAGTTTGTCGGTATTGACTTAAACGATTTACCTCTAGGTTAGAATTTTACATACACTGCAGCGTTGGGAAAGTTCAAATAACATATCTCATAAATAAAGAACGTATGTAGAACCTAGATAATTATTGGCAAATCCGATCGAAAGAAGATGCTTATATTTACATGATTAACCCCGAATAACTTTTCTTCTCTGATCACTGACAAATTATTGTTTACTTAAGCAAAACGCAAAAAGTTATCAAAACAAAGATTTGTCAGTTTAATTGCCGAGTAACAATTTGTGTAAATCAATCGATGCTGTTCATGTTCAGAGTTTAAAATTCCAGTGATAGAGAGATACCAGGGTGTAAAATTAATGTGCTGGTTTTGTTAAACTAGAGGTATTCAAAAAATGGAGAGATTTGCAGTTTAATATCAGGTCATCACTTCATGCTTAAACGACACAATATATACAAAAAGAGTGTTATTATTAAAACCTCGCATTTTAAAATAAATCCCGATCATGCAGAATCTGGCTTATATTTCACAGATAATCACGTCGAAATAGCAATACGACATTTAAATTCCATTCTAATACTCTTATTTGCATAAATGTGACTATTTTAGAAAATTATAGAAGTTTACAATTAAGCTGCACCCATAAGAGCATATTTTGAACAGAGTCAAATTAATCTGTGAATATGGAAATGTAATCTTGCTTCAGAACAATAATTGTATATATACATGTACCTGTATAAACTTTTAAATATGCCATACACAATGGTAAATGTAGGACAAAATTAACAAAGCTAAAGGGAATTTGCAAATTCTAACAATGAAAGAACATATATATTACATCATCGATTTAATAAATAAATAATATATTACATTTAAATGACATTCATTTATTCATTTAAATGACACGACTTTATTAGATTGACGTGCCAACGTAATATTCCAAAAAATAGCATAGAATGTGTGTTATTTTGATAACACCACTTTAATTTACAGAGATACAAAGGCATTTGACTCATACGTTGACACTGTATATATTTACATTCTTTATATACTGTCTAAGAGAATTGATAGTCTTTCCTTTTTCATTATTTTTTTACTTTGCTTTTATGACATGCATTCATTTCAGGTGTGTTTTATAAAATAATAATCATTTCATGCAAGTTTTCCGGATGTTTTTATAAAGTATGTTGTGTATCTTCCATGTATGAAACAGCTTATTAATAATAGATATTAGAGAAATAGTAAAGAAAACAATTAAGCTGAGAAATTATCATTCGTTCATCTATAAAGTGCTGTAAAGTATTGGTTCACGTTTATTTCTCAATGCAATTATTTATCCCAACCTTTAAAAGAAGTACAAGTGGCCTATAAAATATTGTTATACTGTTTTTATGTAGTAATTGTTTCAAAAAGTTATAAAAACAAAACGAAAACTTTCTTCTAACATTACTTTCTGACACTTATCCACAACGTCACTGATAATAAACTCTTCGGTTTTGAAATCATTCTATACAAGATTAAGTATTTGTACTGTAAAATAAAACCTTTGCAATAAATAATGACATAAGAAGGTTGTTTTCACTGTTTAAACATTTCTAAAACAATAATAAAATTCAAAAGAATATAGGATCGACACCTTTATAGAAAGTAACTTAAATGAATATTTTATAGCGTCCTACTGCATTTTATGCAAAATATTAGATTACGTCATTTTATCACCACAGAAACGCATGCTATAAGAAGCAAATTAGTTATTTAAAAGCACTTTGTCTATTGTAATGCAATGTCTTTTGTGACGCAAGATTTCTCAAAATTAAATTGATAGAACGAACGAAATAAAAGAACTTTAATTATTCATTTGTTTCTGTGTAAATACATGTCTCTCGGCTCATGCCCTGAATCAATAAAGACAAATTAGTCATCACTATTCAGTATTTTGAAGTAAGCACCATTGATTGCTCTTTCAATTCAAATAAAATGCAATGTAATAAAAATTAGTGCTAAGATAACATATTGTCAATTATCCGATATAACTTACCTTGGAATACTAGAAATATTGGCACGTTCATTTTTCGAAATGCTATATGCAAAAATTAATGAGATAACATTTTAAAAAAAATGTTAAATGTTATGATAAATTGAATTAAATAAGTTATTAAAACATATGACAATGTATGAAATTCTGATTGCTTTTATCTAACTATTTAACCTGCTTGTCGAGAAAAAAATATTGGTGGCACATTTATCAAAGGTACTGAAACAAAACTTGTTTTAAAATAAAACTGTCTCTGCGTATGTCAATGTAAATGGTGTATATCTTAAAAGATATACTATGCTCATCTTTGAGTAAAAACTTTTTCTTGCAACTTTTATTGAAATCTAAAACATTCTTACTGAATATGTCTTTAATTCAATAAAAGAACCTCCAAACTATAATTATATGTATAGGAATATGCGTTCGTTACTACGGGTCAAGTAAATTTTGTCCTTTCTTTAAAAGGCTGCCAGTATATCTTTAATTTATTCAATATATCTAACAAAAATCCAAATCAATAGCAAAAGATAAATTAAACAGTTTAATATGTACTGTTTGGAACAGGATATCCTTTATTCACGGCATTAGGTCAAAGCTCACAGAACATATTCTGCGCATTTCTATTCAAATCAGCCATTTACTCTATAAAGCTAGCAATAAAACGTAGAAAACAATTGTCTTCATGCTGTTGTATGTGTTTGTTAGACAAGTTAACGACCGAGGTAAAAGACATAACGGCAGAGTATTCTTTACAAAGACTATGAAGAAAACAAATGGAAATGCATATTTCACTGCGTCTGGAACACATTTCTCAGTAAAAGTGTCATACTTTGTAAATAATGTATAAGTTTAAGATCATATCCAGACTACTTTTAAACATTTTTTGCAGTTGGAAATCCATGAAAGGAAACAGAAGAGAATGTCTTCTTTGATGTTATTTGAACCTTTACAACGTCAATGTTTTTTGCATGTCTATGACGCCAATAGATAGATGTTTTATCAAAACAACTGTAATATTATTCAACTTAAGTGTCAAACATCTGTCGTCACGAGATAATATTTTAATTTATTTATCATAATCGTATAAGATGAATTTAAAAGAAAATTCAAAAGAGAAAGCGTGTTTGATCTGAAAAATGTATTTGTCTATCATCTCTTATGTTACAATAATCACTAATCACGAGATTCTTTGTCTCGTTATTTGTGTAATTTCAGAATGTCTCTTCTTATCAAAACAATGGTCATTATTTGCATTTCAGATATTTCCGAAATCGTAAAACTATCTGAACTGTATGTTTTATGAAATAAAGCATACTATTACTATGTGAATTTCAAAATGAACCTCTTTGTACATTTGATACTTATAGAAGAACGTTTAAAATATGATAAACAAGATTAACCAGGTAAGGTGGTGTTCAATGAACACCACCCCCACGACCTAGCAACAAGAGCCAGTGGCTAGGAGCCCAGGAGGACCCCAAACAAAATCAGGACAGCGCGCAAGGGAGATCATTGGCAGGTTAATCACTAAATCATACATAAGAAATAAGCCAGTAACAATTTCAGAACAACAAATTTTAATGTTAAATGATTGATTAAGATAAATTAATCAATTTAAATGACCAAGTCGTAGCAAAAATAAAGAGTAGGAGCAATCTTATCTGATTTATACATGTTCTTTATATTTTCGTCTTAGATATATAATAAACAACCTAAATTCTACATCCGTCATGAACAACTAAACAACCTTAAACCAAATACATGTTGAAGACAGTACATTTATTTGGAATTAAAAAATCTTCTTTATTTCAGCCACGTCACGACAAACCCAACATAATGGGTTTGCGACCAGCATGGATCCAGACCAGCCTGCGCATCCGCGCAGTCTGATCAGGATCCATGCTGTTCGCTTACAGACCCTATAACAAGTAAAGAAACTGACAGCCTGATCAGACTGCGCGGAAGCGCAGGCTGGTCTGGATCCATGCTGGTCGCAAACCCATTATGTTGGTTTTGTCGTGACGCGGCTCATTTTACCCATTCTGGCGTTATAATACTCGAATTTGTCAGACGGATATACAGCATATCAATCAAACAAAACTGTCTTTGAATATTTAGATTAAAAAAGGGAATGAAAACCTTTGATATCAGGACAAAGTGAATTGTGATTTAATGAAAAGAAACGGTGAATATAAACTTGTATTGCAACGAACACTTTTCACATCTTAGAACATCTGGTTGGT